GTCTGTCACACGCAGAACACTCAGAAAGAGTCATAATGCTTGCAAGATCTTAAAAGACTTTACATCGATATTGTGTTTCTTTGCATATTTGCCTAACTCATCATTTTCTCTAGACAGCAGCTGATTGTAAATTGCTACGACAGGCTGATGATTGGCGGTTCAGATTAACGTGCCTGGCAGCGTCTCCCCTCCCACGCTCCGGCAGATATTTGCCCTTCTCTCAGACCTGCTGCTGTTTCCCCGTCACACTCTATTTACTCAGGTCTGTTTGCAGAGGATCAGCTGTTTCCTACCCTGGGGTTCAGCCGTCTGTACACCTGTAGCTCTAGCTAGACTGGAGCACATAACCATGTTCAAATATCAAGGGATTTATTGTCATATCCACAGTTACAGTGTAGATATGGCATTGAGAAGCTTAAGTCCCAGGCTCCTCCAACCATGCTGCATACATACAAATAACGTAAATATAGTGTTTATTTCTCAGATAGTCTACAGATTAAGATTACAGATTACAGAACCCTTACCCTGTACTCAGTTTCTCACACATGTGTTCCAATAGTCTTAAAGTCGTTTTTAAAATAGAGGTGGGAGAAGTACTCAGATCTTGTGCTTGAGTAAAAGTAGAAGTACTCAGATCTTGTGCTTGAGTAAAAGTAGAAGTACTCAGATCTTGTGCTTGAGTAAAAGTAGAAGTACTCAGGTCTTGTACTTGAGTAAAAGTAGAAGTACTCAGATCTTGTACTTGAGTAAAAGTAGAAGTACTCAGGTCTTGTACTTGAGTAAAAGTAGAAGTACCAGAGTGTAGGAATACTCTGTTACAGTAAAAGTCCTGCATTCAAAAAGTTCCTCAAGTAAAGAAGAAAAGTATTATCATCAAAATATAGTGAAAGTAGCGACAGTAAGAGTAGTCATTGTGCAGATTGGTCCATTTCAGAATAATATATATGATATGTTTTATAATGATTGATCATTAAAGTGTTCTCAAAGCTGGTAAAGGTGCAGCTAGTTTGAATGACTTTGTATACTGCAGGGTAGCTTGTGGATTTACTCCAGGTGGAACTAAAGTCTGATTTAACACTTGATTAGATTTCACATCATTCATCCACATCTGTGAAGTAACTAAAGGTATTAAATACATGTAGTGGAGTAAAAGTACACCATTCACCTCTGAACTGTAGAGGAGTAGAAGTACAAAGTAGCATAACATGGAAACACTCAAGTAAAGTATCTCAATATTGTACTTAAGTACTTGAGTAAATGTACTTAGTTACTTCCCCCCTCTGACAGCATTAAGAAAGCAGTTAAAGTGGCATCATGCGTTAGTGACGCTCCAACACTTCGTCTCAGAAACACAGCAGTAATCGTTTATGGTCGGTCGAGCAGGTTTTTCTAAAAATGAAAAAATCAATCAGTTTCACACACCGGACGGATCTGAATGAAAACAGGCCGTGGTGGTGATGAGCGATGATGATGTTGCCATGACAACAGGCAGGCTGAGCGTGCAGCCTGGCTTTTTTCTAGGTTTTTTTGTTTTTATCTTCAGGCGTGCAGCGGCAGGCGGCACCCAGACGGTTTGGGTTTTTTAACCTCTTAAGTGAAAGAAAGAAAGCAAGATGCAGTCTCAGGTGGCATCATGGGAGAATAAAGTGGGGGGGGGGGATGCATGGGTGAGTAAGGGGGGAGAAACTACAAAGTCAGGCATCAGTTTAAACCTCAGAGTCAGAGAGCAGACATGGGAGATGTAGAACAAATGTAAAAAAGGTGGTGTTGTTTTTCGTTACCATCCATATCCAGCATAGGCCAACTAAGAGATATGAGAGGGACAAACAAACAGGTTAACACATAAAAAAGGACACACACACACACACGCACACACACACACACACACACACACACACACACACACACACACACACACACACACAATAATAACCAACAGGTTCCAAATCAAAGCGCAGCTGTTAGAACACGCTGCATGCAGATTAAAAGAGAGAGGAGAGAGAACAGGATGGATGCAACAATAGAAACAGCGTGGGGGGGGCAGAGAAACACGCCTGCTACTGACTGCTGGCACGTGGACACTGGTGTGTGTGTGTGTGTGTGTGTGTGTGTGTGTGTGTGTGTGTGTGTGTGTGTGTGTGTGTGTGTGTGTGTGTGTGTGTCATTTCATTGTGAGTTACTGGATAGAGGAGAAGAGACTTAACACAACTTTTAACAGGACACAGTTCGCCAACCTTTTTTTAAGGCTAACACAAAGGCGCTATAAAATGTTTTTAGCAGATGTAATAGTAAGTATAATATAAGGAAAGAGCCTTTTTGCAAACGGTGATGGATCGATTGCTGTTATCGAGAATAAAACTGTTAATATCTTCTATTAAATCCAGGCTGAAGACTTTTCTTGTTGTCGCTGCTTTGTGTTTAAATCAAATAACACTTTATAAAAGAAATGGTCATACCTTACACTAAAGCCCTTTGTATTGTCTTGTGTTTGTGCTATATAAATAAACTTGCCTAATATTGTCAAAGGGAACTGTGTGTGAGCTTTCCACTGACACCGGTTACCAGGCCTTTCATTCGATGGAGGAATATTCAACAGTCCTCTCATCTAACGCCTTCTCAGGGGGCGGTTAGTGTCCTTCTTTTAGACCTTGCTCTCCCACTACGCATCACCTCTCTTTCTCTCACACACACGTTCACAGAGGAAGGCTGTGTGTATTAAAGGTTAACCAAAAGCCAGTTGGCCTTTTCTAACGGAGGAAACACACACAAAAGGCTGAGGGTAAGCTAACATGGCTGCAAGAGAAGAGCATCGTCACTCTCTCTGGTTCCCATGAAGACACTTGTAGAACCAGATGCTTCTGTGTGCTGTTGGTGGCGGGGAAATGTGGCGTGAATTCATCTGTGTTTGTGTGTGTGTGCATGCTGGGTGAGTGTGTGTGCAGGGAGACAGATGTATGCATGTTGTAAACACAAGCATTAGTTTCCATCAACTCCCTCCTGCCAGTGAAGCGTCGCTGAAACTAACTCAATATTTACATCTAGCTCCTTCGTCAGGAGCGCAACCGCCAAAAAATAACTAATAACATCTGAAGTACAAGGAACACCAAATCGACCGAATTCATCACGGCTTCTTTGACAAATAATGATTTCCAGCTAACTGTAATGCAAGGTTTATGTTGCTTTGGGAATAATATCTAGGTGCAGTATCAATTTGAGGTATTCAACTCTAATGTGCAACACCTTCACCCTTTTGTTAAAAATCTAGATGGAAGATTCAATAGACCTGACTTCATATAAAGGAATCAATTAGATATGAAATGAATCAACAGGGCACATTGATGCCATACATCGACTCATCACAATAATTGTGGGAATGCTGTAACGATAGGATACATTTACTACCTCAAAATGTCCCAGAAAAACACATATTCTGGGTTTTATCTGCAACTAAGGTGGTCGTTCAAAGGTCTTTTGTCCCTAATATGTAGTATAATTAATACTACACCACAGATGTACACATACTTGTCTTATATCTGTTGAGTTAAAATGCTGCTGGGGACAATATGAAGATACAGTATGTGTGTGTGGCCATTGCGTACATTTTTTTATTCACACACCATGTCTTCACTCAGCTGGCCAATAAGATAAGGGATCGATTTGTTGTCCATTACCCAGAATTCACCTGCAGCCTAACGCTCAGCAGAGCCTTCACTTACAACGGGGTCACATTATGAGAGGTAATAGTACTTTGGAGACATTTTTTGTTACGCTTAAAATCTATTTAACACCCTGCATTTTAATTATTAAAAAAACAAATGATAGAGCTTTGCAAATTTGAGAATAACTTGTGTGTGAGGTGTGATTTTCTAACAACTAACCTGATGGTGTTAAAGTTTTAAAAAGATGAAAAATACACGTCAGTTGTTTCAATCAGGGCGTCAAAAAATCTGCATGCATACTTCTGAAGTGCAGATAAAACCTCAAAATGAACACTTCTGTTATATCACACTGCACTGAGTGTAAAATTAATGTTTATAAAACATTAAATGCCACATGTGGCGTATAAGGTAACATGCCTCATATTCACAGCATGAGCTACTACACTCATTTTGGAAAATACATGTATTATTCTGTTCATTGAGTGTTTCTGATTGAGATCTAAATGGCTGCAAGTGTTGAAGTTGAATAACTAGAGCTGTAAATAAACAAATCCCTTACAACTGCAACCAAAAGATAAGAGCGGTTAAATAAACAGCATGATGGGAAAATAATGCAGGCTATATTTAGTCTCTGAAAATACACTGCTGCTGCTGAGAAGATCCATCCTGACAGAGAGTTAGCACCTTGCTTTATTTTCAAAGTGATAATTGAACCTGTACGCAGATCAAGTTCATAAACAGGTGTCTTGACTTGAAAGTATTCTGAATAAGTAGAGATATTATATAGTATATTATTCATATTACATGAACAGTTTGGGAAGAGATGATCCACTGAAGGCATTTCACCTTCTTAGAGGAACGTTTCTGAGACTTTTAAGTGAACTTGCATTAGTTTTTGTTAACTTTTCGTGGAATTTTGGGTTTAAAAAATTACTTTTTGAGGCTTTACTGTGAATGAGGAGGTTCTAAACAGGTGTCTTGACGTGAAAGGATTATAATTAAAGTAGATTACTTCAGTAGAGTCATATATAATTCATACAAATGTGTAGAGTTTAAATAACTTTTGGAGGCTTTAAATGAACCGGTTTGCAGATGAGGTTCCTAAACAGGTGTCTTGACTTGAAAAGATAATGAATACAGTAGATTACTTCTTAAGAAATATTATATAACATGAACAGTTTGGAAAGAGATGATCCACTGAAGTCATCTAACTATTTATAAGAAAGTTTCTGAGATTTTAAATCAACTTTTACTGAACTTTTGTGGGAAATTCAGGGTTGAAATCACTTTTTGAAGACTTGGGCTAAATAATTGTTATTGTGTGTGTTTTGAAAGCCTTACCCTCGCCGCCCTGGATGAATATGGGTCCTCGAACAGGTTCCAGATGACCGGCTGCCACTTCCTCCACAGACTCACATTCCCATCCACCACGTCCTCAATCCCAAACCTCTTCCCAATCTCATCCTCATCCTCCCCGGTGTCCACGTTGAGCTCAAACACATCCAGAGCCTCCTCCGCGTCCCGGTGCTGGCGGTACGTCATCCAGCAGCAGGGCTCCACGTCCGTCTCATCGATGCCCCAGAAAGAGAGCTCTTCCTCGAATAAAGGTCCACACACATCCGCCGGGCAGTGGAGCTTCCCGGTGCGATAGTAGTTCAACACATAGGCGAAAACCCCCGGGTGGCGGTCGAAGAAGTACTCGTTTGTCCGCGCATTGTACTCTATAAACCCCGGCACTTGTTGCAGCTGATCCAGCACCGAGTCGATGTCCGAGTCGGAGGCTAGCAGGGCCAAGCGCGTGCCCGGCAGTGTTTTCAGGGTGCTTTTGTACGTCTCGTGCCTGGTGCCCCCCACGTTGAGGATTATCCTCTCGTTGTCGTCAAACTTGCCCATCGCTGTGTATCAGACATGACTTGATGGGAAGCAGGGGGGAAGTTTTGGCGAGCAGCAAGTCCGGACGAAACGACGAGCCCTGCGCGTAAAACACACCCACAGTCCCGATCAAAAAAGCAAGAAATGCATGTCTGGTCTCAATCATCCGATGCTTTTGTGGCTATTTAGGGGGGTGAGGTGAGGTTTCCATAATTTGGAAGGTGGAGGTGGTCGATTTGTATCCCACAATCCGGTCAGACAGTGCACACACCCACAGTGCTCTTTAAAAAAGACGCTCCAGGATTGTTGTGGTTCGCAGCATCTCTGATCCCACTCATCCGACACTTTAGGTGCTATTTAGAGGGGGGAAATTGGGGTGTCCATCATTTTGGTAGGTGAATGTGCCGATTTGTATCCCACAATCCGTTCAGACAGTGCTCTGAGTGTTCAGTGATCACACACCCACAGTCCAAAACATCAAAAAAGACGCTCCAGGATTTCGGCCGTTGTTCGCAGCATCTCTGTTGTCACTCATCCGACGCTTTAGTGGCTATTTAGGGGTAGAAAGTGGGGTTTCCATCATTAGGTAAGTGGAGGTAGTCGATTTGTATCCCATAATCCGTTCACACAGTGCTCTGAGTGTTCAATGATCTCAAGCAGTGGCTCCAAACAGACTACGCTGCTGCCGTTGCGCGTCTCCTGAATCCCTGCCCTCTCCAAAGACGCACAACTGCTCGTCAGTGTCGAGGTCGTTACTCAAATGTATGTAACGTAAAACACGAGACTCATTTCGGAAAGTAACGTAACCAGAGGTGGAATAAGTACTCAGATATTGTACTTGAGTAAAAGTAGAAGTAGCCTACCAGAGTGTAGGAATACTCTGTTACAGTAAAAGTCCTGCATTCAAAATGTTCCTCAAGTTAAAGTAGAAAAGTATTATCATCAAAATATAGTTAAAGTAGCGACAGTAAAAGTAGTCATTGTGCAGATTGGTCCATTTCAGAATAATATATATGATATGTTTTATAATGATTGATCATGAAAGTGTTCTCAAAGCTGGTAAAGGTGCAGCTAGTTTGAATGACTTTGTATACTGCAGGGTAGCTTGTGGATTTACTCCAGGTGGAACTAAAGTCTGATTTAACACTTGATTATATTTCACATCATTCATCCAGATCTGTAAAGTAACTAAAGGGATTAAAGTACACAAACGCAAACAATGTAAATACCCAAGTAAGGTACAAGTCCCTGTAAATTGTACCTAAGTATAAATGACTGAACATTACTCAGCATTATAATGTTTTAGTAGGCTAATGAGGCCATTCATCACAGAAGATGAGGCTTTTGGACTCTCATTGACCGATACCTGAAGCAAATAGCATTTAGAGTCTGTTTTCTCCCTCGCTCGAGTCTAATATCTTCACTAAAAATAGAGCAGCCAGATTGCTGATCTCTATCGGGAACTGCAGAGTAAAAAAAAAAGAAACAGTCTATATACGAAAGGCAAGGTCCTTGGCCAGTCCATTTTCCCAAGTAGAGCCACAGGAGCAGTCCCAGAGGAGGCAAGGACTGGAGCCTTGGCTGCTTCAAAATCAGGATCAGAATAACATCAATCACAAATGCAAAAAATGCAAAAATGGGGCATGATATGAATACGTTCTTTGATTTCTAAGTAGAGGATAATGTGAAAAGAAAAGACGGCTCTATACTCTTGTTTTATTTAACATGAAAAATCATATGCAATTAAAGAATATGGCCACAGTCGGTTAAGTATTTGTTAAATGGACTTGGAATAGATTTTTAAAGAGGACCTATTCTCCTTTTTGGGGTGTTCCCTTTCCTATAGTGTGTTATATAGGTTTGTGTGCATGTAAATGATCTGAAGGCTAACATCCCAAAGTTCCCTCCAGAGAAAGTTTCTTGAATCATTTCAGAAGCTCCTTAAAATAGCACTTACATGATGAGGTATATTTCAATTTAAGCCTTTTCCCATAAAAATGTGCGCGTATATGCAGGTATTTTAAACACGAGTAAACCCCCCAAATAGGCAATTCATTCCTTTCATTGCCAGCACACAAGTATGCCTTTTCAACTGTTACTGTGGTTACGTTTTCTCTATATCCGTCACATATTCGGTCTCTCTTTTAAACTGTCTTGATTGCTGGAACAGTGGAAAGACTCACACAAGTGTGTCTTATTCTGTTTTCTCCCTGCCTGGTCCATGCCTATAGGAAGAAAGAAAACGGGACGCCTTTGTACAAACATGACCCATAGTGCTGCTAGCATTTCAAAAAATAAGTTGACAGTACCACAAAGACCACCGTGGTGAGGTGTAGTCTGACGAATGTGTCATACATGTCTTGTGATAATTAGACAACAAGGTCGATTTGGCTATGAAAGCAGATAAAACAACTCTTATACAATATGTATCCGTCTGCTATTTCCACAACACATTTACAATGCCCTGACTGAGGCAAGACAACCAATAAGATGTGGGTGATACGGGTAAAAGTCTATCACACAAGCAGTGACTACAACCAAGACATCAGATTGATTAACGAGCATTTAAACTGTTACACTTTATTAATGCTTTGACACCTTTGAGAATATGTTTTGGTGTGATTAGAAGTCTAGCAAAGCCCTTGAGGGAGCGGTGGAGGAAATTAGGATTTATTTTTGCAGACCTTGCAGGATCTGCTGCAAATACTTCCATCTCCAGGCCCATTGAGTAAATAATAAAATGTATAAAACAATATCCCCTTTAACCACAGGGCCTTGGATGGAATTAGGCAGGATTCCCAGTGGAAGAAAATAGAGCTGATTAAATGTTGCTTTACTAATTGAGAGAGACAACCTAATTTACGTTGAACCCCAGATCCCTTACCTCCGCTGCATGACGGAAAGTAATTAATAAACTGAACTCTAATTATAAGTTATGATGGGAGGGCGTGGTTTATTTCACTACGTTACTTTGGAGAAGGTCTCTATTTCCGAATCAGTAAAGGAGGTTTACTCTACTTTTGGGAAAGAATGAGAAAAGGAGCTTCAGTTTGATGGCATTTAAACAGTCAATCCTACATAAACCTACTTGATTTATAAATAATGAATGAAAACTAAGTATTCCTAAATAAGCAATATGTCTTACAGTACACAGTGTCAGGTACCTTATTGTCTGTAGCTGTGTTCAGGTGGCGCCATCTGCAGGATAGAAAGGGAACAACAACTCTTCCTGCAGCAGAAATCCAGTGCTGGATCACCCTCTGACCCTCTGTGAAACTGAAGGAGCAAATGAGAGGTGTTACACTTTCCAAAGAGAAAATGGTGAAAGTGATGTGTGAGAATATAAGAAGTTAGATCAGAGAACATGCCATCATTACGACAAACATGCAATATGAGTCAGATATATTTTAGTTTCACAATCACAGGTGTTTTTCACTCTGCAAGACGTTATCTTTCTGATAAATTATAGAACAGTTAGTATATTCACAAATTGCAAACGTCCTACAGATCAAAGTTGTAAGAAAACTGCATTTTGTATATTGTAAAAACTGCATATATCCATTTGTAAACACAAACACACACATGAAAGAAATCAAGAAAGTCCTGAATGAGAAAAACAATAGTCATGTAAAATATAAAAACATTCAAATCCTGTAAAAAGAGTTGTGTCTTACTCAAATTGTAGTGGACTAGTAAAGTAGAAAGTAGCATAATGGTAAAATACCAGAGGTGGAAGAAGTACTCAAATCTTGTACTTGAGTAAAAGTAGAAATACTCAGATCTTGTACTTGAGTTAAAGTAGAAGTACTCAGATCTTGTACTTGAGTCAAAGTAGAAGTACCAGAGTGTAGGAATACTCTGTTACAGTAAAAGTCCTGCATTCAAAATGTTACTCAAGGAAAAGTAGAAAAGTATTCTCATCAAAATATAGTTAAAGTAGCGACAGTAAAAGTAGTCATTGTGCAGATTGGTCCATTTCAGAATAATATATATGATATGTTTTATAATGATTGATCATTAAAGTGTTATCAAAGCTGGTAAAGGTGCAGCTAGTTTGAATGACTTTGTATACTGCAGGGTAGTGTGGAGGCTATTTTTATATAACATTAGAAAGACTGATTCTTATTATTACATTATAAGCTTATTGTGCTCATTTATGTGGCTGTGACTTTGGAATAAATAGACGTCTTTAGCCTGCAATACAGAGTAGCAAGGTCAGGTGCAGACACTGAAAGAATACAAAGAGTTATTCATAAACAGGACATTGCTCCGGCCTTGAGTTGTATGAGAGCTTCGCTCCCACACACAGCTAGGAAGCAGCATTATGGTTTTCCACTATATCTGCAGAAAGCTTCAGAAAAAAACGAATGACGTATGATGGCGACAGAGTAGGGAGGGACTTCCACAGGCCGGCCGAATGCTGATTGGAGGATCGTGTTGCCAAGAGACTTTTTTCTAAGTCTGTGCACCTACCAAAGAGAACCAAGTCTAAACCATGGTATCTCTTCAGCTGGTCTTGACCAATCATAAATGTACGGTTCTAAATTGGTTTGAGTCCTACTTAAAGGACAGAAAAAACTTTGTTTCTATAGGTAAATATACATCTGAGTTGACAAATATGACAAGTGGGGTACCTCAAGGCTCCATCTTGGGGCCTCTTCTCTTTAACCTCTACGTGCTTCCACTGGCTCAGATAATGAAAAACAACAAAATAAATTACCATAGCTATGCGGATGACACACACATTTACGTAACAATTTCACCAGGAGACTATGCTCCAATTCAAACACTGAGTAAGTGCATTGAACAAATCAATGACTGGATCTGTCAGAACTTTCTCCAATTAAACAAAGATAAAACTGAGGTAATGGTTTTTGGAGCCAAGGCAGAACGTATAAAAGTTAGCGCTGAGCTTCAGTCTGCAATGTTCAAAACAACAGATAAAGCCAGAAATCTAGGTGTAGTCATGGACTCTGACCTGAGTTTCAACAGTCACATTAAAACAGTTACTAAATCAGCCTACTATCACCTAAAGAATATATCTAGGATTAAAAGACTAATGTCTCAGCAGGATTTGGAAAAACTTGTCCATGCTTTTATCTTCAGTAGACTCGACTACTGTAATGGTGTCGTCTGTCTTTCCTGGAATTTTGAACACAACAGTAGCTTGTGAATTTACTCCAGGTGGAACTAAAGTCTGATTTAACACTTGATTATATTTTACATCATTCATCCACATCTGTGAAGTAACTAAAGGTATTAAATACATGTAGTGGAGTACAAGTACACCATTTACCTCTGAACTGTAGTGGAGTAGAAGTACAAAGTAGCATCAAATGGAAATACTCAAGTAAAGTTCCAGTACCTCAAAATGTTAGTTAGTAGGCTACTTGAGTAAATCTACTTAGTTAGTTTACAACATTGTCAAAGGATAAGAGCATGTTCTTAATCACTATTAAAACCAATTGCAGCTAAATTTAACTTAGCAACAGTCTCTTTTTTTTGTTGCTTTATCAGCTAGTTTAGTAAACAGAATACTAGACTACATTTGTCAGGAGGACACAAACACGACTTCCTCCCAATCCATGCTACAGTTAGCCAGGTGAATGTAAATGAGCAGCTGTTTGACACCATGTACCGCAACAACACGGCAGCCATTATATTTGTATTGTGTATTTGATTGACATTGAAAGATGGAGTTTAGCGGATATTTTGGCCTCCAAATTAATTTGTTTGTTTTTCACCCACTTCCAGGTTACTGAGCGCCATTTTCACCGACGTTATAATTGCGTGGACGTTGACGTTACAACTGGTTACCATGGAAACTTCTTTGGTACATGGATAAAGCATAGTCAATGGTCTAATAATCAATTAAAAGCAGACGTGGAAGAAGTACTCATATCTTTTACTTGAATAAAGTAGAAGTACAAGAGTGTAGGAATACTCTGTTAATATCAAGATAGTATCGCTAGCTGCTAATGTTGTGTTAGCTCTTGTTGCTAATGTTGTGTTAGCTCTTGTTGCTAATGTTGTGTTAGCTCTTTTTGCTAATGTTGTGTTAGCTCTTTTTGCTAATGCGTAGCTTTGGCTTTACAGTATGCATTAAAACCATGGGAGTCAATATCTTCAGAGGTGGAAGAAGTACTCAGATCTTGTACTTGAGTAAAAGTAGAAGTACCAGAGTGTAGGAATACTCTGTTACAGTAGAAGTCCTGCATTCAAAATGTTACTCAAGTAAAAGTACAAAAGTATTGGCATCAAAATGTAGTTAAGTAAAGTACTAGGATACTTTCCACCCCTGGTAACAAAAGTAATGTAATGTAATTTTACTCCAATATATATTAATTCATGTATTATTTATTAAGCTTTAATGAATTTTCAGATTTGGCATTAAAAAACATGTGATAATCTTTTTACCATAATGCATCTCTCGTTTTATTTTCTCCTAAGGCAACTCCCACATGAAATACACAACGTTCAACACAGAAATGTGACAATGCATTAAGGGGAATGACTAATACAGTGGTTCTCAACTGGTGGGTCGCGGACCCGTTTCGAGTGGGTGAATGTGTGAGTGAAGAAAAATTGGCGTTGGACTGGAAGTACCGGAGACCATAAAAGGTTTTGAAAAAGTCCCCACGGAGAATAACTTTGCGGTAGAACTATTCTTTATACATCCATGGGTACAACTTCAGATCAAAATGAACACATAATGAAATATGACCCCCGGTTTGATGATTGACAGGTCACAGAACAATCGGATCTACCCTTACCCACAATTTAAAGTAATTCACACAGACTATCTCCTCTTTGCTCTTCTCTCTGTGTGGAGCAGCAAGCTGTCAGAACAAAGTGAAAAACAAACAATGGCATAAAATATTATCAATGTCGGGTAGTAATATATTTATTTATTTTCTTCTCAGAGTGTACCAGAATGCGTAGTTTATATGTTAGTATTTCTAAAAATCTCCTGGGGGAGAATCCCCCCAGACCCCCTGCTGGGTTTGGGTTTTCAGCATGTGGGCCTTTTTATGTTATACAGTTCAGCTTTGATTCCATCATCTCATTAAACCTTTTTTAAAAGCATACTTTAGTTATGCGAAGGGACATAAGGGATATATGCACTGTACTTCACTTTAATTAATATTGTATGCTGAAAAGCGTATATATTACAGCACGATTTTTTGTTGAATAGATTTCAGTGGTTCAAAATTTCGGGTCGCGATTTATTGACAAAGGAAAAAAGTGGGTCCCGAGGCCTGACCAGTTGAGAACCACTGGACACACACATTTAGAAAACAAATGAAGGCAAATATGTGTGATGTGGCAATGAATAGATAAATACACTCATGATTAAGTGGTAAAACAGCCAATAATAGGGCAATGATGGTTGGGCTTCACAATAACAAAATGTGATATTAAATGATAACACTCTGCTAATGGGGAATCTCAATTTTCCAAACATATTTAATTTTTACAATGAATTTTTCCCAAACACTAAGCAAATTGTATTCTATTATCTACTATTACTATCTACTATGAGTTAAATAAAGTGAGTCCTAAACTGTAACAGACAAGGACACATGATGCAAAAATGATGATCATACATGCTGTGATTAATCACTTAAATAACTGACATCAGCACAAATTATAACAAGACTTGTTGTCATTTGAAAAACAAAAATCCACACCTGAATAGTAATAGATATTTAGAAAAGCACATTGATAGTATGTACCCAATGACTGAGCAATAAAATGCACTTCTCTCAATGATATAAGTATCCAACAAACATCCAATTAAACACATCCCAAATACAATGATTTAAAATGAAAAAAGTAGACAAATGTAACTAGGAAATGTGTTTCTGGTTGACCAAATGATTGTCATCGTCCTATATGATAATTACATTTACAAATGATTTGAAAAAGCACATGCAGTTGGTTTTGATGTATGCCCAAACACAGGTTCACATTTTCACAACACACATTAGAATATTCTGCTCATCGGCTCCAGCACATTAGAGTCAATCCCTTTATGATTAAACAGGAAATGGTCATCAATCAATCATTCATTTCTGGAAAGTCCCAGCACACAGGATGTTCGGGGTTAGGATGCAAACCATGAAAGCACTTGTTCTCTAAATGAACAGACGGAGAAGCTGGGGTTTTAAGTCATCCAATGCTCACATCCTGTGGCATTCATCATAGTGGAAATAAGCGTTAAAAGACCTGCAGGAAATGCAACAACAGTACCGCAAAAAGACATCTCAGTATTGTTATCCTAAGTCTGTTGGACTACTGGATAAACATGTGAAAAGTAATGGCAAATGCAAAATGCAGCCTCCCTTTAATGCAGAGAAACCAACGACAGAGCCAATAAAATAAATATACATGTAGTGATTTCATCCTAAAAAAAAGGCAATGATAAGTGTTGGCAAAAGCAGGACATTTTAAAGTCAGCACACAAAGACTAAAACCAGTAGCACTACACAATGCTGGAGCTCCTCCAACACGTCTATCCTCCGTCTGTTTTTGTGCCCAGTGTGCAGTGGTGCAAAAGTGAGAGGAACAGCAAGAGGATTGATTTTTCTTTTTTCTCGTGGGGGTGGAAGAGGGTCTGAGTTTAAACAGTATTCATGCACACTGCTATTTACAACAACACAACTATCTTTGGTAAGCATGTGTGCACCAAGTTATTATGGAAATGGGGTAAATTATAGGTAAAATCTGAATAAATGTAGGAACTTTACGCTGCAGATTCCTAATGCCATATCATTCTCACAGCTGTTACAAAGGTATGAAACGAGTAGCCTGACAGAAACAGAAGATTAATATGTCATGTAACCCTTTCTTGCATCTATAGGAAGAGTAGTATCATATTGACTCGTTGACCTTGTGCACATGTGTTTGTGCTGGTCCCTGTGAGTGCAACAGGAAAATAGAGCATCATGTGTTAGAGTTTCCTATGAATGCAATATATGATTATTGTTAATATGTAGACAGCCTTTTACTTTACCATCTCATAGAGTCCTGTTGTAAACACTGAAATGTTGAGTACCCCAAAGTGTTATGATAGAAATGTATAGTACGGGTCCCCAGCACATAGAAACTGCCGGGTGCTAACTTGCATATGTTGGGCAATTTGTACAATTAGCCTAAATTGCGTTAGTTAGCATATGCAGACAATAGTTAAAAAAAAATGGGTTGGCAAATTTGGATGATCTTGTTGTGGTTTTGGAAGTTATTGAATCAATTTCTAACATTTTCAGGAGCAAAAAGGGCAGTTTTAACCAGAAAGTGGACATATATGTGTTTTCTTAATGAATTTTGGGTCGATTTTAAAGTTTTAGGAGACTCAAAACTCCCATTTCTGATCATAAAAAGGTCAAACATTGATTCAACATCTCAAAAACCAGACCAAAATTGTCCAAATCAGCCAAGCCACTTTTGAAATATTGTCTGCATATGCTCATTAATGCAACTTATGCCAACTAGGCAAATTGCTGGGGACCCGTACTATACAATTCTAACATAAACTTTGGGGTACTCAACATTTCTGCATTCACACTGCAGGCAAGGAGACTATTTGGGAAAGAAAGACATTCAGGTTTTGATAATAATCCGTCTCATTCCTCCACAGTGAGTTCAGTCGGGCTTGTTTCGGCGCCTGAGGCCAGAAACAAGCTGCTCTGATCCAACGTCCTCAATGTTTGTCTCAGAGGAGTCCTCCAAACCTTCTTCCTCCTCCTCCTCCTCCTCCTCCTCCTCCTCCTCCTCCTCCTCCTCTCCTTCTTCTGTCTCTGCCACTTCCCCGTCTGACTCCTCAGGTTTCAGCTCCTTCATCTCTGCACCTTCTGCTGCAGCATCGTCTTCCAAACGCCTCGGACGGATCTGCTCCGAAGCTTCAGGCGTTTCTGGAGAACTTTCCGCTGCAGAGTCTTTGGCTCCGAGCGACTCGATGATGTCGTCTAGATTTCGCTCGCAGGACGACTCTGAAAGACAGGCGATATTCAAGATGCAAAGGTTTTATTGTCATATGCTCAGCAGCTACAGTGTAGAAATGGCAATGAAATTCTACGGACCTGAGCTCCTCCAACAATGCAACATATATGTAATAAAAAAAAATTGTGCAAAAAAACTGTAAATAGAATATGATATGTACAAGAACAGAATATGAAATAAAATAATGTAAATTAAGACTAAATTAAATACGGTTTATTGCAGTGATAACTATTTATATAAATAAATAGGTATATTGCAAGATGACAAACATGAATGTTTAACGGATTTAAAAGTGAAGGGCATTTTCCATTGATAAAAAACAGCTGAAAACATATATTTTTACGTTAGGGTTTTATTTATTTATAACGCCCTTTTATTTATTTATTTTATAGGTTTTATTTATTGTATATATTTTATAGTTTTATTAGCGACATTCCCTTTTAAGTTGGTCTTCATTCTTATTATTTTATTAGTTTTCTTATTGTTTTTTTATTGATTAATTTTATAAAAAATGTAAATGTTGATTTATATAACTATTATTATCATTATACTTATTATTATTATTATCTGATAAAAGCCAGAATTTAAAACACAGTTAAGTCTCAGTCTCAATGGATAGCATTCAAAGGAGATATGCAACAAAAGCCATGTGGAAAACTCTGAAGTATTCTAACAGCTACTGTAACATAACGAATTCAGCTTAATATCCATTTCCACATCGCTAATCCATCAGCACCAGTGTAAACATCACATGTCATTTGTTAGACCCTTTTATCCAAAGCGACTTACATACATTCGGTACTGTGGACAATCCCCACAGGAGCAATTTGGGGTGAAGTGTCTTGCCCAGGGACACAACGACATGCTGACTGCAGTGGGACTCGAACTTGCTACCCCCTGATTCGAAGTCCAGCACACTATCCACTGAGCCACAGCCTCCGTAAACAGATATCATGTTCTGCTGTCACTTTTTTTAAACATTAGAAATATTGCTTTCATTCATCAAGTCTTTCCTGTCTCTTGTGAGCTGTTCAGTAACCATCAATGAAACCCAACACTGCAGAAAGAAGTCACGGAGGGATTTATTCCTGCTATTAACCGCCGGAAAGCTTTCAACGCTAATGCAGGTTTAATTGATTTCAACAAATGGACAGTTTTTCTGTGTGAAGTATCTCAGGGCAGCAGAGACTCTGAGACTGAATTTGTCGAAACAAACATGGATGAGGTGTTGCATTAACAGATCCTAAAGTCAATTAAAACAGGAAGAAAAGGGGGAGGCTTCTGACTAAAACATGATGTAGTTATTTTCTAATGTTTGGTTCTCTTTGTACTTCACTATTTGAAAAATGTACCGTATAAAGTTCTGCTAAACTGCACTGAAATGGATGAATGTGTTCACTGTGTGCAGCTATAGTGTGATGTTTCACGTTTCAGGCCGCCATTTGCATGTCTCTGGATGACGGTTTGAAAGTATAATCAGCAGGTTTGTTTTTCGGTTGCAGATTCTGGGACGAAACCACAGAAAAGCCCCGCAGCACACAACATGCAAAACAGGTTATTCCTTGGTCTACTGTACTATAAAAAGCTGCACGGAGGCGCGGCTGTAACACCTGATTCTCCTCTTGTCTTATTTTATGTTTCAGCCAAAGTTCTTTAAAAGACACTTGTTATTATGTTTATACATATGTATGACATGGTGTATGGATATATGATAAACTGAGGTTTCTACTGCATCTGCTGCAACATTCTCTGGTGTATAAATATATGTTGGATTCACCATACTGTATAGTATTGTCACTGTAAATATTTGACCATTTTTACCTAGAACTACAGTATGTAAAATATGGGAATTTTCATGCAGAAACCGTGTTTGCAAACGTATGCAAATCAGACTTCAGCCACATTTGTAATCGTAAAATCAGATGCAAAACACTTCTCTAAAAACGTGTGTCGGCTCGTCTGCCAAAGTCAAAATTCCAATTGTGGTTTATGGCAACAAACCAAAGCTGAAGCCAGATCGAGAGATGGCGTGACTGCATTTTCAATATCTTATCATCTATCCTGCAGGTTGCTGGTTTGGGTCTTTTTCATTGGAAACATTTCACAGTTAGCACGCTGGATTAATGCACGCTAACATTGTAACTATAGGTGTGAGATGCATGAGGTTACTAAGCAAACTGGGAAGTGACAGTGTGAATAGTTTGTCCTAAGAACACGCTCAAACACTATGTACCGTTGATGTTGATTGGGGGGCAGTCCATGCCTCTCTTCTTCATCAGGACGCGGATGGTCTGCAGCTGAGACATGATCTCGTTCTTTTGATCCAGGGCCACGGACTTCACACTGAAGAGAAATGAAAACAAATATATCTCCAGTGGTGTAAAGTACATTTACTCAATCCCCTGTGCCCTCCTTTACACTGTAGGCCAGCTAAATGAAAAGGGACAGGCAGAGTAACGTGAGGATCATGTTTCAGAAGCAGAGAGCATGAAAACAAACCAGTTAGTGAGCGGGTCCAGCTGAGTGAGGATGGAGTTCAGCATCCTCTCCGTCTGCGTCAGCCTTTGTTCCAGCTCATTCAGCTGGTTCTCTGCACCGGAACAAACACAAAAGTGTGCAGAGAGGGGGACTTCAGGGGTAATTCAACACTCACATGTTTGTTTGATTTGAGGAAACACAGATATGCAAACAGAAATCAGACGGGGATGAAACACACACCTGCTTCCACTGATTTTTTTGCTCCTTTCACAACTTTCTCCTTTTGTTGTTCCTTGTCATCTGCAGACTTTATCTGTGGGTGGAAGAAAATGACACCATGTTGGTTTTGCAAATTCGTTTATCACATTTGTAAATGATCTCAAAGTTCCACAGTGTTACAGGCAGACATTTGACTCATTTGTTCCAAGTCTCATGTCATTTTATTTCGGGCAAGTCGAGTTAAATCCCGTTAAGTCCTTAATGAATGCAGGTGAGACTGCAGTAGCTTTATTTATTACATGTCTATTGTTAGACGACTTACATACTCAATACTGTGGTCAATCCCCACAAGAGCAATTTGGGGTGAAGTGTCTTGCCCAAGGACACAACAACATGCTGACTGCAGTGGGGATTGAACCAGCGCTCCTGATTCATCCGAAGATCAACGCACTGAGCCACACCCTCAAGTTGGTACCTGTCTTTTTATGATGTTATTGGACAGTGTATCTAATCCTGAATTAAGTGACACCAAAAATGGCAGTTTTGAGTCCCCATAATCTTTAAAAACGTCCACAAATTAATCAAAATCTGTCAAATATGGCCACTTTTTGGTTAAAACTGCCGTGCTTGACCCTGATAATGGCAGCAAAAGGATTCAACATCCTCAATGACCTCCAAAACCACTCCAAAATTGTCCAAATCTGCCAAGCAATTGTTTAGCTACTGTCTGCATATGCTAATTATTGCAACTTGTGCTAATGTGCAAATTGCTCAACATATGCAAGTTAGCATCCGGTAGTTTCTATGTGCTAGGGGCCCGTACTATACATTTCTAACATAAAACGTTGTGGTACTCAACATCTCCGTGTTCCCAACAGGTCTCCATGAGCTGGACTTCCTATCTTTACTCACCTTTAAGAACTTATAGGCTGCAAACACTCCGAGCCCGATGGCGTAGAGAGGCATCAGCGTGAACACGTAGCCCTTGTTGCTGTTGGATTTGAATTTGTTGTCGCTCTTCATCTCTTGCTCCATCAGCTTCTTCATCTGCTGCATGTTCTCCGGGCTCTGAGGGGAACCCGGTGCGTTCAGGTTCATCGGCTGACCTCTCACTGCACCTGGACCCGGGCCAGCTGGTACCAGAACAACATGAGAGGGAACAAAGGGAGAGGATTCTGATTACAGTGGGAGGAAGATATGCTTTTACATTTGTTGGGAAAATAGTGAATGTCCTCTTCCAATCTGAGAGTAACATGATAACAAAGGTATCCCAACTGTAGCTGAGTACATGACAGGATGTATGATTACCTAGAAGAGCATCAGGACTGTTTGAGGCATATGATAGCTATGTGATTAACATGATGATTCAGCCTCTATGGAGATAGACATATGACAAGCATGCTCATTTCTGACGTGGAGCTAATCTGAACTAAACATTGAATACTGCTTTATATTCCTCCATCTTGTGACTGTGTAACTCCCTCTCTTGGATATCAGCATGTGAAGGACACTGTTCAGGAACTAGTTGATGCTCTGTATGTGATGACTACTTCCATTCTGGAGAGGATCAGAAATACATGGATCCTGAGATTGAAGCTCAAGCCGGTGACCAGTGAGATTTTTCTAACAACATTACATTGCATTTAGCTGACACTTTTATCCAAAGCGATGTACAATAAGTGCAATGCCAAGATACAAGCGAAACAGGAGGGTCTGGCAGAAGACATTTAATCCCCACAAACTACAAAACAAAATGCCTAAAAGTAGATTGAGCTGCTAGAAAAACTATTACAAAGAATTAGCTTAAAACGCACATCCTGTCAGTAGAGAACGATATTATACATTGTTAGGCTAATTCAAGAAAGGCTTTTCACAATAAAAAACCTGCTTCTCTGAGCTGCCTCAAACAGGTGTTTCTATTGCACAAAATAAAACACCACTCAGGAACGTGAGGATTGGGAAAAGGCACTTCATTTTACCCAACGACTGTACTTAAGTACAATTTAAAGCTACTTTGTACTTCTACCCTTCTACAGTTCAGAGGTAAATGGTGTACTTTGACTCCACTACATGTATTTAATACCTTTAGTTACTTTACAGATCTGGATGAATGATGTGAAATATAATCAAGTGTTAAATCAGACTTTAGTTCCACCTGGAGTAAATTCACAAGCTACCCTGCAGTATACAAAGTCATTCAAACTAGCTGCACCTTTACCAGCTTTGAGAACACTTTAATGATCAATCATTATAAAACATATCATATATATTATTCTGAAATGGACCAATCTGCACAATGACTACTTTTACTGTCGCTACTTTCACTATATTTTGATGATAATACTTTTCTACTTTTACTTGAGTAACATTTTGAATGCAGGACTTTTACTGTAACAGAGTATTCCTACACTCTGGTACTTGTACTTTTACTCAAGTACAAGATCTGAGTACTTCTACTTTTACTCAAGTACAACATCTGGATCCCTTGTTCTTACCTTTTCTGGAGAGCCGGGGGTCGAACCGGGTCTCTTTGGTCCCGGTTCCTCCGCCAACCCCGAACATCCTGGGCAGGACAACAAACGTGAAAAGCACGGCCGTGAAAGCCAGGGCGACTTGTTGTGATGTTGACACCACCATGCTCGGTGCACACACACACTCACACGCACACACACGCACACACACAAACAAACACACACTCACACACACACACACATACACACACACTCGCACACACACTATAAGAGAAATGGATGAAGACGCTGGAGAAGGAGTAGGGGAATAAAAAAAGCTGTGAGGTTAAATGGAAATGAAAGAGTGCGATGAGTGAAACATAAAACCTCAGCTGTTCTGCTCAAAAACAGCTGGCTCTGATCCACTGCAATAAAACAGGAGCAGGACATCCGAGGGAGGCGCTTTCAGAATAAAAGCGTCAACTGGGAGACACGAGAACAACATTTGTGGAACGTCACGTGACCAAAAGTAAAAAAAAAGGCTTCAGTTGGGAATTCTCTAAACTCTAATTGTCATGTGACTATTTTATTATATGTTTTTAAATATATCATTTGTGCTCGTGTAACTATATATATATATATATGTATGTATTTAATATATAGGAATTATCAAAATGTGGGTTGTGACGAATAGTAAAAAAAAGAAAAGAAAATTGAGTTCTTCTGATTATTCTTTCTCAGAAAAAAATTATATATGAATAATTTTGCAAAAGATCTGACTTTTATTTTGAAAATACGTACAGCAACTTCCTCATCGCTTGAGGTTTTATCTGTTGTAACAGAACATGAAAAGCACGCTCCTGCCCCCTGTTTGCAGAAGAGGTTCTCTACATGTCTGTTTAAATATTGATAACTTACTCAAGTACTGTACTTAAGCACAATTTTGAGGTACTTCTTCTTCACTTTAGTATTTCAATTTCATGCTACTTTGTACTTTTACTCCACTACATGTATTTAATACCTTTAGTTACTTTACAGATGTGGATGAATGATGTGAAATATAGTCAAGTGTTAAATCAGACTTTAGTTCCACCTGGAGTAAATTCACAAGCTACCCTGCAGTATACAAAGTCATTCAAACTAGCTGCACCTTTACCAGCTTTGAGAACACTTTCATGATCAATCATTATAAAACATATCATATATATTATTCTGAAATGGACCAATCTGCACAATGACTACTTTTACTGTCGCTACTTTAACTATATTTTGATGAGAATACTTTTCTACTTTAACTTGAGTAACATTTTGAATGCAGGACTTTTACTGTAACAGAGTATTCCTACACTCTGGTACTTCTACTTTTACTGAAGTACAAGATCTGAGTACTTCTACTTTTACTCAAGTACAAGATCTGAGTACTTCTACTTTTACTCAAGTACAATATCTGAGTACTTCTACTTTTACTCAAGTACAAGATCTGAGTACTTCTACTTTTACTCAAGTTCAAGATCTGAGTACTTCTACTTTTACTCAAGTACAATCATGCCTAAAACAGTCCTGATGCTCTTATAGGTAATCATACATCCTGTCATGTGCACAGCTACAGTTGGGATACCTTTGTTATCATGTGTAATCTGATATTGGAAGAGTGCATTCAGTATTTCCCCAATACCCCCTCATTCAAAGTACGGTATGATTTTAGTGTTGCATTTCATGCTGTGGTTCTTCCAGAGTAAATAGGGTGTGCCCCCCTCCACGTCATGACATCCCTGAGTAGCAATTGGAAACAGGAGTCACAAATTAGCACAGGACATAGTAAAAAGACAAAAATGAAGAAGCTTTAAAATCAAGCTTTCTAAAAACTCAAAAAGAAATGTTGGCTTCCACCCATAATGTCTTTAGAACGGCATACTACATTGCGAAAAATAACCGGCCATACTGTGATCATCCTGGACTAATAGAATGACACACATGGAATTATGCTTTTTTTTTATAAATACGTGTGTAAAGTTTGTGAAGGCAGGAGGAAAGCTTCCGCGATCACCGTCTCCGAGTGACAGGCTGATAGAAACCTGAGAGAAACTTTATTATTCACTTAAACAAATGTTGATATGATGAAGCTAACCTAATCTCTTACATTCATAGGATTGATGTAACATTAAAACAGAGAATGTAAGTGTGCACCCACATGCAGTATTTTGTCTGTCAATATTGTTTCTAAGACTTGTTGCTCCCGGATGTTGGTTCTAAAATCATCAAGTCTGCACACAGTTATCTTTCTTCCTGTGTACGTGGTCTTCCTCAACCGTTGTAACCATTTCATGCTTGGGTTGCACTTTCTAAAATGCACAATGAGCATAGTTCAAAGTGCAGGATGTGCTATGTCTGGTTTCATATTTACGGAAAGACATTTCCGAGAAATACTTACTTTCCATCAATCCAAACTAAAGTCAATTTAGCATTTATTTATCAATGGTACATTTAATCGAGGTAGGTGAGGTCTGTCACGGCCACTTAAAACAGCAGATCTGTAACACAAGTATGTATGTCTTATAGTTGTTACCATCATTATGTATATATAATATTGATATATACAATATATCACTTTATTCATCACTGCAGAAAGGATCATGCCAGCCCACATGAAACACCTGATCAAGGACTTGTGAATCTTCAGGCAGAAAATATGAAAACACCTGTTCAAAGTTCCAGTTTCCTGTACATGGAACCATGCCTGTCCTCTGTTCCACATGTCTTTAGTCAGTTCTGGACCCCATGACTCGGTTCCACATGTCTTCAGTCAGTTCTGGACCCTATGACTCTGTTCCACATGTCTTCAGTCAGTTCTGGACCCTATGACTCTGTTCCACATGTCTTCAGTCAGTTCTGGACCCTATGACTCTGTTCCACATGTCTTCAGTCAGTTCTGGACCCTATGACTCTGTTCCACATGTCTTCAGTCAGTTCTGGACCCCATGACTCTGTTCCACATGTCTTCAGTCAGTTCTGGACCCTATGACTCTGTTCCACATGTCTTCAGTCAGTTCTGGACCCCATTACTCTGTTCCACATGTCTTCAGTCAGTTCTGGACCCTATGACTCTGTTCCACATGTCTTTAGTCAGTTCTGGACCCCATGACTCGGTTCCACATGTCTTCAGTCAGTTCTGGACCCTATGACTCTGTTCCACATGTCTTCAGTCAGTTCTGGACCCTATGACTCTGTTCCACATGTCTTCAGTCAGTTCTGGACGCTATGACTCGGTTCCACATGTCTTCAGTCAGTTCTGGACCCCATGACTCGGTTCCACATGTCTTCAGTCAGTTCTGGACCCTATGACTCTGTTCCACATGTCTTCAGTCAGTTCTGGACCCCATGACTCTGTTCCACATGTCTTCAGTCAGTTCTGGACCCCATGACTCGGTTCCACATGTCTTCAGTCAGTTCTGGACCCTATGACTCTGTTCCACATGTCTTCAGTCAGTTCTGGACGCTATGACTCGGTTCCACATGTCTTCAGTCAGTTCTGGACCCTATGACTCGGTTCCACATGTCTTCAGTCAGTTCTGGACCCCATGACTCGGTTCCACATGTCTTCAGTCAGTTTTGGACCCCATGACTCGGTTCCACATGTCTTCAGTCAGTTCTGGACCCCATGACTCGGTTCCACATGTCTTCAGTCAGTTCTGGACCCCATGACTCGGTTCCACATGTCTTCAGTCAGTTCTGGACCCTATGACTCTGTTCCACATGTCTTCAGTCAGTTCTGGACCCTATGACTCTGTTCCACATGTCTTCAGTCAGTTCTGGACCCTATGACTCTGTTCCACATGTCTTCAGTCAGTTCTGGACCCTATGACTCTGTTCCACATGTCTTCAGTCAGTTCTGGACCCCATGACTCTGTTCCACATGTCTTCAGTCAGTTCTGGACCCTATGACTCTGTTCCACATGTCTTCAGTCAGTTCTGGACCCCATTACTCTGTTCCACATGTCTTCAGTCAGTTCTGGACCCTATGACTCTGTTCCACATGTCTTTAGTCAGTTCTGGACCCCATGACTCGGTTCCACATGTCTTCAGTCAGTTCTGGACCCTATGACTCTGTTCCACATGTCTTCAGTCAGTTCTGGACCCTATGACTCTGTTCCACATGTCTTCAGTCAGTTCTGGACGCTATGACTCGGTTCCACATGTCTTCAGTCAGTTCTGGACCCCATGACTCGGTTCCACATGTCTTCAGTCAGTTCTGGACCCTATGACTCTGTTCCACATGTCTTCAGTCAGTTCTGGACCCCATGACTCTGTTCCACATGTCTTCAGTCAGTTCTGGACCCCATGACTCGGTTCCACATGTCTTCAGTCAGTTCTGGACCCTATGACTCTGTTCCACATGTCTTCAGTCAGTTCTGGACGCTATGACTCGGTTCCACATGTCTTCAGTCAGTTCTGGACCCTATGACTCGGTTCCACATGTCTTCAGTCAGTTCTGGACCCCATGACTCGGTTCCACATGTCTTCAGTCAGTTTTGGACCCCATGACTCGGTTCCACATGTCTTCAGTCAGTTCTGGACCCCATGACTCGGTTCCACATGTCTTCAGTCAGTTCTGGACCCCATGACTTGGTTCCACATGTCTTCAGTCAGTTCTGGACCCCATGACTTGGTTCCACATGTCTTCAGTCAGTTCTGGACCCTATGACTCTGTTCCACATGTCTTCAGTCAGTTCTGGACCCCATGACTCTGTTCCACATGTCTTCAGTCAGTTCTGGACCCTATGACTCGGTTCCACATGTCTTCAGTCAGTTCTGGACCCTATGACTCTGTTCCACATGTCTTCAGTCAGTTCTGGACCCCATGACTCTGTTCCACATGTCTTCAGTCAGTTCTGGACCCTATGACTCGGTTCCACATGTCTTCAGTCAGTTCTGGACCCTATGACTCTGTTCCACATGTCTTCAGTCAGTTCTGGACCCCATGACTCTGTTCCACATGTCTTCAGTCAGTTCTGGACCCTATGACTCTGTTCCACATGTCTTCAGTCAGTTCTGGACCCCATGACTCTGTTCCACATGTCTTCAGTCAGTTCTGGACCCCATGACTCTGTTCCACATGTCTTCAGTCAGTTCTGGACCCCATGACTCTGTTCCACATGTCTTCAGTCAGTTCTGGACCCCATGACTCTGTTCCACATGTCTTCAGTCAGTTCTGGACCCTATGACTCTGTTCCACATGTCTTCAGTCAGTTCTGGACCCCATGACTCTGTTCCACATGTCTTCAGTCAGTTCTGGACCCTATGACTCTGTTCCACATGTCTTCAGTCAGTTCTGGACCCCATGACTCTGTTCCACATGTCTTCAGTCAGTTCTGGACCCCATGACTCGATTCCACATGTCTTCAGTCAGTTCTGGACCCCATGACTCGGTTCCACATGTCTTCAGTCAGTTCTGGACCCCATGACTCTGTTCCACATGTCTTCAGTCAGTTTTGGACCCCATGACTCTGTTCCACATGTCTTCAGTCAGTTCTGGACCCCATGACTCGGTTCCACATGTCTTCAGTCAGTTCTGGACCCTATGACTCGGTTCCACATGTCTTCAGTCAGTTCTGGACCCTATGACTCTGTTCCACATGTCTTCAGTCAGTTCTGGACCCCATGACTCTGTTCCACATGTCTTCAGTCAGTTCTGGACCCCATGACTCTGTTCCACATGTCTTCAGTCAGTTCTGGACCCCATGACTCTGTTCCACATGTCTTCAGTCAGTTCTGGACCCCATGACTCGGTTCCACATGTCTTCAGTCAGTTCTGGACCCCATGACTCGGTTCCACATGTCTTCAGTCAGTTCTGGACCCTATGACTCGGTTCCACATGTCTTCAGTCAGTTCTGGACCCTATGACTCGGACACTAGTTCTACCAAGGCTTATTAGAGGTAAGCAGTGGTAGGAGAGGAGTGGAGTTATCTTTGTATTTAGGCTGCAAGTCGACAAAGGTGATCAAGTGCTGATGCTAATAATGATCCGATTAATTTGATATTGATTGTCTGCCAATACCGAATCCTGATCCGATTCTTCTATTTCCCAGATAATACAGCTGCACCGTGTACACTAGCTCTATTTGTTTTTGCCATTGTAATTCACCATAAGCAATTGTTGACTGTAACGTCTATGCCAACCAACTGCAATTTGTAATGTATTTTATCATACTTTAACGGTCACGTTCTGGCAACCACAGCAGCCCAAATGTTAACGTAAATATCAAGTTTTCTTTTTACAGTGTACTTATATCTGTACATTTCTTTTCAGTTTGCTTCAAGAAGTGGCTTCAACAGACAGAAGTGCAGGCCAGATTGGGAAAGGCTGAACGCTACACAACGGGAAACATTATGGACATGAACAAGGAAAAATAAAAAAACACTTTCTTTGTTGCCTTTTTCTTATCATACATAGTGTTACTGTGTTTGTTACCATTTAAATATTGAAATGTTTTTTTTAGCTGGCCAGGATGGCTGGTTTAGCTGGTTTACAGTAGCTGGTGTTTATGTAACATTAAAACAGAGAATGTAAGTTTGCACCCACATGTAGTATTTTGTCTGTCAATATTGTCTCTAAGACTTGTTGCTCCCGGATGTTGGTTCTAAAATCATCAGGTCTGCACACAGTTATCTTTCTTCCTGTGTACGTGGTCTTCCTCAACCGTTGTAACTGCTTTATGCTTGGGTTGCACATTCTAAAATGCACAATGAGCATAGTTCAAACATTCAGGATGTGCTATGTCTAGGGAGGCTGTGGCTCAGTGGGTAGTGTGCTGGACTTCGAATCAGTGGATAGCAAGTTCGAGTCCCACTGCAGTCCGCATGTCGTTGTGTCCCTGGGCAAGACACTTCACCCCAAATTGCTCCTATGGGGACTGTCCACAGTACTGAATGTAAGTCACTTTGGATAAAAGCGTCTAACAAATGATATGTAATGTAATGTAATGTCTGGTTTCATATGTCCAGTAAGACATTTCTGAGAAATACTTACTTTCCATCAAACCAAACTAAAGTCAATTTAGCATTTATTTATCAATGGTACATTTTATAGAGGTAGGTGAGGTCTGTCACGGCCACTTAAACAGCAGATCTGTAACCGTATGTATGTATGTCTTTTTTTTATATATGTATTGTGGGGGAAAACTTCTGTGTAGCAATGCAGTGGGAGTCACCGACTCAGGAAGGAGACACGGGGAGAGCTGGAGCTTTGATGGCAAACACTGATGGGTTTATTAGGAGCTTCGGCCGGAGAATTCACAAAACAAGTCCAAGAGCCAGAGGTTCTGACTTCACGGTAGAGTTGCCACGTCAATTCTGAAGAACTCTACCCCAGACTAGGGCTGTGCAATTAATCGTATTTTAATCGCAATTACGATTTTGGCCTGCCACAATTACAATAACAACATAATCGAAAAAAACGATTATTTTGCTTTGCTAGGTTGTGACAGTGCACTGCAACATATTTGATCAAATGTATTTGTATTTATCATATTTATATATGTTTAGTAGCTTGTTGAAGTGCGCTCCAAAATATTTGTTGATCTTGTTATTGGTATTTATTATAATAATTGAATTTTACGTTCAGGGAAATCAACAGTTAAAAAGATACTGTTCAAATTATTATTTGTATTTAAAAGTTCAATAAATGGATGTTTTCAAAGACATGAATAATCGTATTTAATAATCGTGATATCAATTATTGACCAAAATAATCGTGATTATGATTTTTGCCATAATCGCACAGCCCTACCCCAGACCCATGTATTTAGCTAGTTCAGAGAGAATAATCAACATTGTGCATAACAAGATAGAATCATAACACCTCTATCAGCTGACGCCAACAGGCAGGAACAGGGAGACAGAACACTGAGAGCACAGCAGCCAAGGCTACAGGTGCGTGTGCTCAGTCAGGACAGTTTGAACTGATAAACTGGGTCAAAGTTAGGGGCCCCAACAGTTCCTCTCTTTATTTGTAGGGGAAAACTTCTGTGTAGCAATGCAGTGGGAAATATTTTGGACTGTTTATTTCTTGTGTCTTAATTTCTCTTATTGCCTTGTTTTTTAGCATGTAAAGGATGAAGAACCCCCAGGGTTCAGCCAGGTAGGATTTAATCTATCTATCTATCTATCTATCTATCTATCTATCTATCTATCTATCTATCTATCTATCTATCTATCTATCTATCTATCTATCTATCTATCTATCTATCCATCTATCTATCTATCTATCTATCTACCTGTGTGTGTTTTTGTGTGTGTGTGTGGGGGGGGTATGTATAGTATGTCGTCATTTTTAACGACATACTATACTACACCTGGTTAAACAGTCTATATGCAGTAAGCTGATATATCAAGTTTGACTGAAAGCCAAAGGACCTGCCCAGAAACCTGCAGGAGGAGGCTCTTAAACACATGGATAAATACATATCTGTTGTAGCTCCTCGATACAAACACTCTGGGAGCAGTTCTTTGAAAGTGTCCACTTAAAATTGAATTTATAATTGTTTAGGGTAAAATGACCTCTCAAAGTGCAAAGGTGTTGTTCTCGCTGGACGCTGAAGCTGTGGGCTCTCTGAAAGATGGAGCTAATTTCAAGAAAAACCCAGAGGATGGTAAATGTTACATCATTTACAAAGACAAGAGCATCAATGTTCTTAAAGCGTGCAAGAACCAGTGCAAACACCAAGGAGGGTTGTTCATCAAAGACATCGAAGACCTGGACGGCAGGTGAGCTCCTTCTATTATTCCACGTTTTAAATGTACTGTATAGAGCGGGGGTGTCCAACCTTTTTTCACTGAGGGCCACTGAGGGCCCGGCGCCACGAGGGGGCAAAAGGGGGCATTGCCCCCTCAGTTGTCTTATTTGCCCCCTCACTTTGAGCATCATTCATCCATCGAAAAGTAAAATAAATGTCACAATTATTAAATAACTTTAAATAATTATTTTCCCCGACACACGTTACTATGTCTAGATCAGATTTTTTAATTTAGATTAAATTCAAAGTACCTTCCCGCAAAATATTGGACAAAAGAAACTCGGCTAGTAGTGTCAACTAAATCCTTTTAGTATTACAACAAAAGTGCTTTAAACGAGGTAAATTACGAATGTATGTTCTCAATCGCCAAGTATGGGATTGAATATTACATTTGTTTAGATTAGATTTATTGTCCCCAGGGGGAAATTCATTTTCACAGCACTGTGAAAACAATATGAAATCGACAAAAAATAAGACAGACATCTACAGATAGCACCACACGTACAGAAATATATTCGAAGGGCTGGGCCGCTCACTAGAGGTGAGGTATATTGCCTCATAAGTGAAGTTATAGGTTAGCAAATTCAATCAAATCTCGGTCATTTATTCTTGATACTTGAATTTGCATTAAGAAAAAAAACAGTTACAAAAAGTGTTGGTAGCTCATCCCTTAAAACAGAAGCTTCAGACTGCTTATAATAAGGGGAAATATGAAGGGTATATTTCAAACTTGTTATACTAATAAGGTATTGGGCTTTTTTTTATCAACTAAGATGTGTTATAAAATGTTTTCAAATGTAATTTATTTGAAAAGTGGGAATACTAATGTGTATTATCTGTTTACTATATATTTAAAAAAGTACAAGTTTCGGGTGTGGGCCATCCTCCATTATAGTTTAAGAATATTCTGAAAGAAATTCTAAATAGACAGCGGGCCGCAGTTGGCCCCCAGGCCGCAGTTTGGACACACCTTGCATTTACTGGTTTTCATATCAGAATCAGAATCTCTTTGTTAGTCCTGCAGCGGGGAAATGTACAGCGTTACAGCAAAAGTGGAATGTAAAAAAGGCATGCAATAATCAAAAAGAAAGCAGAAATTTGTCATAAAATAGAAATAAAGACAAATAAGTACACAACCATGGCTAAAGAAAATTATAGCGGGAATTTAAGTTAAACTAAGTGACATAAAAAGCATGTTATAGTATTGAGACGTCACCAAAAAGTTTATGAATATATGTATTTCATTCACATTGTACCTAATCTGCATTACTTGCACATTGGTCTTGCACTATTTCATTGTTTTTTATATTTGTTTTATTTCATTTCAATCTTTATTTCGGCCTCTAAAGACTTTGATGACGCATTATAGATTTTAGATAAAAACCTTTTGAAAAGCTAATAATTAGACAATTGTGTGTATTTTGGTCTGAAATCTGAAATGTTTAGCTCTGACTCTCAATCATTGCTTTCTTTGACCTCACTTTCTTTCTACTTTCTTTTTTAACTTATCCTTTAGTTATTTCAAGTGTCTCATGCTAAACGAACCCCCCTTTGGAAAATGTTAATCTGCAACCCAATATTCCGAAAATTCAACGGATCCTGGCCATATTTGTGTAGCATATAAAATGTATTTGCTCTCAGCAGATAAACAGGTTACAGCAGTGACGTGCGGTGAGGTTCATGGCTGGTGAGGCACTGACAGTCAGATTTACAAATATTATATTTTGACCTTAATCGAAATATTCGGTTATTTTCAAAAGCTTTTTTAGTCTGATGCTTCGATTCATTTTAAACAGACCGTTCAACAAAAGGATACCCAAAATCTAAATATTGGATTGTTCTTTCTTAGTAAGATCCCATTTTCATTACAAATGTGGTCTTACCTTGACTTGAAGATGAAGTCCATGCTATCCTTCTGGACAACAATCTCTATTACTTTTTTGTAAAAGTCCTCCTTATCTTCCTGTAGTTTCAAAAGTCTAGTTTGTTGTTTGCGTCTACCGTCTCTGCGTAGAATAACAGTAGCAACAAGAACCTGTGGGCTCACGTGCGTCCCCTTCAGTGCGGCAGAGGTTATGGCTGCCTCTCCTGGTGCTTTTTTCATTGCCGTTGTATGATGAGACCAGCGAGCCTAAATATCATATATACGTGAAATAAGTTATTTAGAGACTATGGATGGCGAGGATAAATGTAATAAAGGGATCTACAAACATTGCATTGGTGACCTACAGTGAGATGGTAACAGGCATGCGCTTAGTGCCCGCTTTCCAGACAGTTTCTGTGGGGTGACGCATTCTGAAGTGAGGCAGAGCTCATCTGTGCCTCACCTCGCCCTACAGTAACTGGCGGCTTGAGCACGCTCACAAAATAAGTGCCCGCGCTAAATTAGTGCCCGTGCTCCAGCAAGTTACTGTGGGCTTACGAGAGGCAGAGCACGTCCCTGCCTCACTTCTCATTGCTCCCGTAGCGGAGCTCGGCAAATTTGCTGATTTTTATAAAAAGCGATTGGAATCATACATAAATCACACTTTCAACACAGATCAGTGGAGACATTTTATTATTATTACTATTTAGTTTTTCGTTAGTTGTTTTTCCGTTACATTGGAGTATGACAGGTGAGGCTCTGCCTCAGACCCGGCTCCAGGATGAAATGACTGAGGGGGCTGTTAACAAATCCGAGGGGGCGATTTTTTTTTCACAACAACGAAAAATACTGGCAATGTAATGAATTGACACACCAAGCTTTTTTCCTTCTCACTGCTCTACAATCTCTTTGCTTCTTTATTTGTATTCCGGATTTACCCCTCTCATTCGGTTCTTTTCCTCTGATCTTTAACGATAGTACATTATTAGATGGCTGCACTTTGGTTAACAGACTAACATTGATTTCCTCAATGTATAAATTGACTGGCTCTGTAATTATACCATAACCTTTTCTCCTCTATCTCTTAACTCGTCTTCCTATACAGATTTACTTACTTACTTACTATCTACTCTATATCAGGATTAAAGACAAATTAATCTGGTTGATTTTTTATTTCCAGGATTGAATGTTCAAACCAAGGCCTAAAACCTGGCATTTCATAACAAAGTGACTAATATATAAACCAAATGTAATATTGGATAAAATACTACACCAAATGGACAGACACAGATTAAACATACAGTCCCCTGGTTTGTCTCTAGAGTCTAACTGCCATGAGAAAAATCAAATCAATGTTCCAAAATCCGTCACTGTCGCTCATTGTACCAACATGGTTTATATAATACATAACATATTATTATTATAGTAAAAGGGCTCGCTTTGGCAAAATCCTGATCCATACAGGCAACCCTAAATAATAACAAGTAACCATCATGTGTGGTGCTATCTGTAGATGTCTGTCTTATTTTTTGTCGATTTCATATTGTTTTCACAGTGCTGTGAAAATGAATTTCCCCCTGGGGACAATAAATCTAATCTAAACTCATTTAATATTAAATCCCGTACTTGGCGATTGAGAACATACATTCGTAATTTACCTCGTTTAAAGCACTTTTGTTCTAATACTATGGATTTAGTTGACACTACTAGCCGAGTTTCTTTTGTCCAATATTTTGCGGGAAGGTACATTGAATTATTATTTTTTTAATTTAACCTTTATTTAACCAGATAAAAACATTGAGATAGAATCTCATTTTCAATGCTGACCTGGCCAAGAAGGCAGCAACGTTACACATAACACATAACACAAACATATAAAATACAGAGAACATAACTAAGAAAACAAAAGACGAAAAAGCAGTCACTACATTGTGCACATTAGGGACAGTAAGAAAAGTACACTACTTATTACTGCAAGAGCAGCTGGTGGTGAGGACTTCAGACAACTTCAATTTAAAACATGATATAGAGACAAGTGCCATCAGTTTTAGGCTTGATTGAAGGTCATTCCAAGACCAAGGACCATAATAAGAAAGTAGAACAAGAAGAAGAAGAAGTAGAGGTAGAAGAAGAAGAAGTAGAGGTAGAAGAAGAAGAAGTAGAGGTAGAAGAAGAAGAAGTAGAGGTAGAAGAAGAAGAAGTAGAGGGAGAAGAAGAAGAAGTAGTAGAAGAAGAAGTAGTAGAAGAAGAAATACGCTAACGCTACAAACAGGCACAACACTGTTACTCTGTTTTTACTGACATGCAGGGGTTAAATTGGGCCGGGGCTGTCCGGGGCTCAGCCCCGGCACATAGGACGATGCTCTGACGTTATCACCCTCGCTCATTTGTCATTTGTTTAAGCCATATGTTAAAACATCTCACGTTCTTAATATAGACTTTATTTAGGGTCGATATGTGTTGACTTTACTTTAAAATAGCAGATCTCTGTGAGGATATAGTTTTTCCGCTTAGTGAACGTGTGTCTCTGCTCCGATCAGGAGCTGCAGCACCGCGGCTCCTTCGTACAGAGAGTCTGCAGCGGTGTGTGCGTGTGTGTGTGCAGAGAGTCTGCAGTGGTACCGCCAAACCCCCGACCTGTCTTGTAACACGGAGCCCGTTTCCTACACCATCAGGGCCGGTTCTAACCAATTTGCTGCCCTAGGCGAGATTTTAGCTGGTGCACTTTAAGCACACATTACTAGAGACCTGATCTACTGTAGGGGGTACAACTCTAAACACCCATATGAAAAAGATCGGTTTACATTTTAATAACCAAATATGTGAACATAACCAATAACCTACCATAGCCAATAACAAATAAATGTAACTTATTTAATTTTTGTTGTTGGCCGGTTTTTGGCATAAGCAACATAGGCGGTCGCCTATGCCAAAAACCGGCCCTGACTTAACCTAACAACTTATTTAATTTGTTATCACAATTAATAATGTCATGTTTTCTTTTATTCTTGAAGAGAATGTCTTTTTTTCTGGCATTCTTCCAGGATTAACAAAAATAAGAATAACATTGAGAAAAATCTTTGAAGTAAATGGCTGTTGTTAAACGCTTCCCACATTTACTTCAATCGTACAGTAGAAAAGATAAAAGTATCCAAGGAATACACAATAGAATATATAAAGAATAAATGAAAAATCTCTACAAAAGACCAATACACTACAAAAACTGAAACTTATTGACATAGGTAATATACATCAAAAAGGCTTCAAATGTATTCAGTATTGTATGAACATGTTTTAATTGGGGTGTGGACGTCACATCCTCTAGGGGGGGTCCGGGGGTATGCCCCCCCGGGAAGAAATGTTTGAAAATGTAAAGTAAAATGCTTCAATCTGGTGCACTTTAAGCACACATTACTAGAGACTATCTAGGGCAGTGGTTCTCAAACTTTTTTCAATAATGTACCCCCTTTGAAAAGAACATTTAGCCAAGTACCCCCTGGTCAGCGCAAAAACATTTTTTTAGGGAAAAAAGCCTATATAAAGAGGTACAGTAGGGCGCTGCACCATCAGTGTCTGATTTATTAAAACAACAACCTTGTAACACTTAAATGCTACATTTCAAATGTTTACAATCCATCACTAAATTCATGGCAAACCAAAACGCTAAGACGACATTAGTTGCATTGAACTGATCTTTTTAATAAGTTGTACTTACAATGTAGTGAGAAACATGGGCTTGTGCTTCACTGAGGATCTTTGTCATTCTGACAGGGAGGCAAACTGCAGTTATTACACTTCGCGTTTTGAAATATATGTAACTCTGTTAATATAAAACCCACACTGCTCAAACTTCGTTACTTTTCCTAAAATTGGTATATTTATTTATTTTGGGGCGTGGGGAATGAAGAGAAAAATATATATGAGCATTTTATGAGCATGGGATTTTGACCCCTCATACAAACATATGCATAATGCTGCGCTATACTTTGCGGCCACACGCCGTTGCCAAGCATCGCTTATTGTTTAGGTCCTTTGATAAGCAGGCAGTCATATAATTAACTAGAAGTAGCTAGATCTGATAGATTTGGACATAAACGCGAGTGAAGTATAACCGGACACGAGAGAGAGATCAGAGATCAGATCAGCTGCTGCTGACGGAGAACACGGAGGTCTTCCGGATCACAGCTCCCCCGCTGTGACGGACCGGTGAGCGGAGCAAAATACACTAAGAGTTAGACCTAACACACTTAGAAACACACTCTGGAACTAGCTAAACTAGTTAGAAATATATGTATTCTTTACTGTCGGGTCATTTAGTACAGGTTCAGCGAGCTGCACGAGACTGACGGGCTGTCAGGAGAGGGAAAGAGAGAGAGAGAGAGAGGGAGAGGAAAAGAGAGCACCCCGTTTATTTTTCCCATTTTATTATCCAGAATTACTGTAAACTTTTGAATAAAGTAGTTAATCTACTATTAGTAGTTTGTTTAAATGCATTACTTATGTTGTTTTTTCATTAATATAAAATACATCTCACGTACCCCCTGCAGTACTCCAACGTACCCCTAGGGGTCCGCGTACCCCCATTTGAGAACCACTGATCTAGGGGGTACAACTCACCCATATGAAAAAGATCGGTTTACATTTTAATAATCAAATATGTGAACATAACCAATAACCTACCACAGCCAATAACAAATAAATGTAATTTATTTTGTTTTTGTTGTTCATTCATATCTTATTTTACCTAGTTAACATTTATTTATGCATATTTTTTATCTCTCAAGTTTTAAACGATATTTCTGGTTTACTGTCCTATAGCATACATTGAAATGATTTCAAACCTGTTTATCCCAATAATTATAAAGGAGTGCCTTGGAAATATTTGTTTACATAAATTGCATTTATCTCTCTCGCTCGCTCCCACGCCCACTTTGGCTGTGAGCTGTGGGCGCCTGATAAGCCAACACCCCCCATTTTCATCACTTACAGCGCCCATCGTACAGGGCAAATGAAAAGTGTAACCGGGGTGAAAAGGGTGTTACATTTACTTAATTATGAATGTTGTTACATCAAGGCCGAAAATTAGGATGAGCGCAAACAGAGCTGCCAGCGCAGCGCCCCCCCAGATCTGGCGCCCTTAGGCGACCGCCTATGTCGCCTATGCCAAAAACCGGCCCTGTAGACCATGCTAAATGTATGTCTGCATAAAGCTGAGTTATGATCGGTCATAATAACACACAGAATTTGGTGATGATTACATAGCTTACAGTGAGATTTACTCCCATACTTTTGGCCATACTCACGCAGCCCTACAAATGAATTGAGATTTCCACACAAATGTTCTTTAGCAAGTGTGCAGAGCAGTGTTGATTTAAAAAAGCAATTTGAAGGTTGGATATTTGTAAACCTTTTTTTGTGTATATACCGGTATATTAATAATTTAAGATGTAAATGAATTCCAGTTTATTTGTAGTACTTTCTATTTGTATTGTGACATTTGGTGGCATCAATGTGTGCATTTGATACAGATAATGGAGCAGTTGCTTTAGGGCCACAGTGTATATCCCTTAAGGTCAAATAATGAGATCCTCGACCTCCGCCCCCCTCTCGCACCTCCACACAGAGCCCCCCCACATATCAAATCCCAACTTAACCCCTGCTGACATGTAACATTTTATTTCACCTTGCTCTATGTTTTTTAACGCACATTCAAAAACTGGAACATTATCGGGAGTTTCAACCGGGTACCGGCCACCGAAAAAGGGGACTTTGCCCGGAAAACGGGGACGTTTTGGTCACCCATCCGACTGTGTTCACAGCTAAGCACACACGCTAACATTAATTAAGACTACAAGCTCACTTGGGGTTGAGGCTTTTTTACACGTTGCTTGACTGCCTGCCCACATATCTGATCTAGACATAGTAACGTGTATTGGGGGAAATAATTATTTAAAGTTATTTAATAATTGTGACATTTATTTTACTTTTCGATGGATGAATGATGCTCAAAGTGAGGGGGCAAATAAGACAACTGAGGGGGCAATGACCCCTTTTGCCCCCTCGTGGCACCGGGCCCGCTCTGCCTCCCCTGCCTCCCCTGACTGCACGTCGCTGGGTTACAGTGCATTAAAGGTCGCCTATTATGCAAAATCCTCTTCTTCATGTCTTCTACATCAACATGTGTCCCCACTTCTTCACGTCTCTTCTACATCAACATGTGTCCCCACTTCTTCATGTCTCTTCTACATCAACATGTGTCCCCTCTTCTTTATGTCTCTTCTACATCAACATGTGTCCCCTCTTCTTCATGTCTCTTCTACATCAACATGTGTCCCCTCTTCTTCATGTCTCTTCTACATCAACATGTGTCCCCTCTTCTTCATGTCTCTTCTACATCAACATGTGTCCCCTCTTCTTCATGTCTCTTCTACATCAACATGTGTCCCCTCTTCTTCATGTCTCTTCTACATCAAAATGTGTCCCCTCTTCTTCATGTCTCTTCTTCATCAACATGTGTCCCCTCTTCTTCATGTCTCTTCTACATCAACATGTGTCCCCTCTGTGGAAAGAGACTCTGAAAGTTTCAGGAACAAAGATTCTCTCTCTTTTTGTCCTGATCCATTTATATAAAAACCTGTCTGAAAATGAGCTGATCAGATTTTGGCCACTTTATGATGTCATAACGATGTTTTGGTTTGTGTAACCATTAGCCAATCACCAACCAAGGTACCCCCCCCCCCCCCACCTTATCACCTGAATATCCTCCTAGAGTCCATTGTGTTCTTTTTAACCAAATATCTCTCAGAGGGGCGTGGGGAGTGGCTCCAGTATGTCTATATGTGTCTGCCATAATCACAAAACTGGGATTATGAGGTGTCTACATGTCTTCAATTACCACTGACAGTCTCTTTGTTCACAGGACTGTGAAATGCACGAAGCACAACTGGAAGTTGAACGTGTCAACGATGAAATATGTGAACCCACCTGACAGTTTCTTGCAGGACGAGCTTGGTAAATTACATTTTCTTTGTTGATGTCCATGAATAGTTGTCTGTGTGAACTTTTGCACAGCATTCACACTGCTGTTCTTCAAATCTTTATTCTTCAACTTCCACTTCTTATTATTTCAACCAAATAGTTTGGCTCTCAATAACTTCAGCTACAGAAACCATTCAAATATCAAAATATTCAGGATTTTCAGCACATGATGGAAAACCTTTGATCTCTGGGCTCACACAGGTGTTTGATAACGTTGTCACCATGATAACATTTGATCTCTGGGCTCACACAGTTGTTTGATCATACCTATTTCAACAGAAACCACCACTATTTTCTTACCCCAACAAAACAGTTTTTACTATTCCTCAACATAACCAGTAAGTAAGTAAGTAAAACCTTATTTATATAGCACCCTTCTCAACATAAAACAGCAGCAGGTAATACATAGGATAAAACATACGATAAAACACCAATAAAAGACAGCCACTAACTCACCTCCTCCGACGCCCCAAAGGCCTGTCGGAAAAGGTGGGTCTTTAACTGCCCCTTAAAAATCTCTATTGAGGCAGAGGTTTTTATTATCTGGGGGAGTTTGTTCCAAAGCCTTGGGGCCACCACCTCAAAGGCACGGTCCCCCTTAGTCTTTAGCCTGGTCCGGGGCACCCTTAGGAGGCCTTGCTCAGAGGACCTCAGGGCCCGAGTTGTGCTGCGAGGGTGGATCAGGTCATTAATGTAGGCTGGGGCTTGGCCATGGACAGCTCTATATGTGAAGACCAATACTTTGAATTGGGTTCTGAGATGGACAGGGAGCCAGTGCAGGGCAGAAAGGATCGGAGTGATGTGGCATGTCTTTTTGGACCGAGTGAGCAATCTGGCTGCAGCATTTTGGACCTGTTGTAACCGGGTTATTGATGTTTTGTTGAGGCAGGAGAACAGAGCATTACAATAATCAAGCCGGGATGAAATAAAGGCATGGATAGCCATCTCCATTTCTGCGTTGGATAGAACCCCCCTGAGCTTGGCAATGTTCCTGAGATGGAAAAAACACGTACATGTACGGGTCAGTAGTTTTATGTGTTTGTCTAGTAGCATAGACTGATCGAAAGTTACACCAAGGTTTTTTATGTTTGCCCTTATGTTACCACTGAATGAACCCAGGTGTTAGTTTGAATTACTAACTTTGAACACATGTGACTCCTGGAGCTTAGTTCAACATGTAGGGCTACCCAGTGTTAGACAGAGGTGGAAAAAGTACTCAGATCTTGTACTTGAGTAAAAGTAGAAGTACTCAGATCTTGTACTTGAGTAAAAGTAGAAGTACTCAGATCTTGTACTTGAGTAAAAGTAGAAGTACCAGAGTGTAGGAATACTCTGTTACAGTAAAAGTCCTGCATTCAAAATGTTCCTCAAGTGAAAGTAGAAAAGTATTCTCATCAAAATATAGTGAAAGTAGCGACAGTAAAAGTAGTCATTGTGCAGATTGGTCCATTTCAGAATAATATATATGATATGTTTTATAATGATTGATCATTAAAGTGTTCTCAAAGCTGGTAAAGGTGCAGCTAGTTTGAATGACTTTGTATACTGCAGTGCAGGGTGGCTTGTGAATTTACTCCAGGTGGAACTAAAGTCTGATTTAACACTTGATTATATTTCACATCATTCATCCAGATCTGTAAAGATATTAAATAAATGTAGTGGAGTCGAAGTACACAATTTACTTCTGAATTGTAGTGGAGAAGAAGATACTTTGACTGAAAATGTACTACCTCAAATGTGAACTTAAGTACAGTACTGCTCCCCAGTGTGTTAGACAGTGATTCTGACCCTCACCAGCTGAGCATGTGTGTATTATCTCATTTACAGAAGTAGAGATTTTGGATGATGGGGGGCTTCAGTTGGTTGAGTTGAGCCCCGTCGACCCCTGGCTGGCGGACCCTCGAGAGCCCGAGGAGCTCCAGGAAGGAGAAGTGAAGGTTTGTTCCCTGTGACACAGTCGTTTTTTATGCTTTTATTTTGAAGGCAAGGCAAGGCAAGTTTATTTATATAGTACTTTTCAACACAAGGCAATTCAAAGTGCTTTACAAAAATGAATAACACAGGTACATGAATAAAAGTTATAGTCTTCCCGTTAAATTATGGTTCTTTTGACAGTTTTCTAACCCTTTTATTTTCCTTTCATCCTTCTCTTTCATCCATTTTGCATCCCCAGATAACACATTTTCCTGTTTTACTGTTACCCGAACCCATCTTTGACCTTTAAACCACGTTTCTTTTCGATTCCCAGAATTAGGATATTTAAACCTTGAAGGCATCTTTGGGCACTGATTTGGGCACCTGCAGTGGCGGCGCCAGAGCATTTTTGTTGGGTAATCTATGGTAGGGCTAACCCATACAGTGGTGGTGCTCAAGTCAGTATTTGCAATGTAATTACATACACGCTATATCGCCCCCCTTGACAGTGAAACGCCACGCGTGAGGTTTAGATTATTTCCCTGTCTCAATCAAAATGGAACTGTATGAAATAAAACGGCACATTTGTCTTGTAGTAAATAAAAAGGGATCACTGTGAACGTGACGTATGATAGTACACGTTGAAGATCCAATGGGGATACTGAATGGCGGTTTCGATTGATCTCAATCAATAAGGCATGACGCAGATCCAACGTTGCGTTGCTCTGATTGGCTGTAGGTCTATTCAAATTGCATTCGGAGGCATTTTGATCTGACCGCGGCCGCGCTGATATTATAACGCCAGAGAATTTCCACACCTTTAGTGTATAAAACTCCCCCACTACTTAGACTATTCCTTGCACCCCTCTTATAGCATAAGCCCGAATGGTCTCAACCATATTGCATCAGTAACGTGCACTTGTTGTTACAGCAGGATCAGTTTGTGTGCTGTGGACACGACCCGTATATTTTCGCAATCCGTGTTCTCAACATTTAGCATTTCGCTTATTATTTAATTGAATTTGCATCACTTTTCATGGTGGGGCTATGTTGGGGCTAAGCCATTTCTTGGTATGGCTGTAGCCTACCCCAGCCATACCCTGGCGCCGCCACTGGGCACCTGGTGTAATTGTATATATTGGAGACGGATGGTTGTGGGATTAGTGCACCAGTATGGCATACTGTATTGTTTTTTACCAGGGAAAACACAAGGAGGCCACAGGAAAGGAAAAGGGTCAAAGATAAAGGAAAATGTATTTTGGTAATAATGGATTATGTAATAAATGCACAAAAACTACGATCTTGTCTGGACGTGGATCACTCCCTGCGCACGATTCGATCTCCGGTGCCTCAGAGGCAGTTTTACCTTTGAGTTAATGTTCAGTTTTACTCCTCTATGATTATGGTTATATTGAACTCCTATTTCCAAAAGTGACAACATCATTTGAAAGAATCCTCCATCACGGCAGGGGGCTTCATTTAAAAAATTGATGAAACACAGGAAGAAATACACTTGTTTCCATCACAACCAACTTGAAATGTGTAACGCCCATTGTTGCATAAAAAGGGTCAGTGAAACACCCCATATTCATATTTATTAATTCCACCTGCAGACGCACAGGAACGACTCAAGGAATGACAGAAAACCAGATGCATTCAAGCTGGGTTTGCACATTGAAGTAGAAAACAGTTGGGGCTTTATTATTCATAAAAACGATTTATATTTATTTTATGTTTGTACGCCAATTTCTAAGCAAACAGCTGATTGCAGCTGTTTACTTAGAAATTGGCGTACAATTTGAGTACGCCACGTTAAATGAGGCCCCAGACTGACCCTCAGTGTCCATTTTGACACAACACAATCATCGACTCCAGGATTCAGCCTACCATAACAACATATTGAGGCTGTCCAACATCAGCTCCTGAACAGCGAATATGAATTGTTTCCATCAAATTGGAGACACAGGGTCTCGCGTTTTAATAGGGTTAAACTAAAGACCTCCTTTCTGCACAATCCTTAAATTAAAATGGTTAAGTCCTAGATAACATGTACCTTAGAGAGTCTTGAGCATGTTTTTTCTCTTCAGTGATGTTTTTGTTAAATGTCTGTTCCCTTCTATCTTGTCTTACAAACCCTTACCCTACCCTATATAAAGCATGTTTTAAACACCCCACAGGTGACGTACATCACCCACGCCTGCATGAAGCTGCAGTTTGGGGAGACTTGCTTCATGTTCGATCCGTGGTTGAAGGGTCCTGCTTTTGCCCGAGGATGGTGGCTCCTCCACGAGCCTCCAGCAGATGCCATGGACAGACTGTGCTCTGCAGATCTCATCTACATCAGCCACATGCACTCGGACCACCTCAGGTAAACTCTTCCATAGACACTGTCGTCACCTTTTATAATAACTCCATAAAAAGGAGTTAAAGGTCCCCTATTATACTGATTTTCATCAATATATTACAGGTCTCAGATATATACAGAACATGTCTCTGATTGGCTGAAACACCAAACAGGTCATTGCAGCATCCCATAATCCCCTCTGTTTCAGCCCTGTTTCCAAAGTGCTGATTCTCTGTGTGTTACTTTAGATGAAAATAAGGAGCCCCTCCCCACGCCCCTCTGAGAGAGATTTGGTTAAAAAGAACTCAATGGTGCTCTAGGAGGAGATTCAGGTGATAAGGTGGGGGGGTTACCTTGGTTGCTGATTGGCTAATGGTTACACAAGCCAACAAATCGTTATGACATCATAAAGTGGTCTAACGTGGGTATAATAGGGATGCAATAATAGTGAAATAGGGGTGTTAAAGGTGGTATTATTGTCTAGGTGTTATAAGAGTGTAACATGGGTGTAACGTAGCAATCAATTAATTTTCCAAAATATTATATGAATGTCTATTTAAGGGTTGCAGTCTGAGGAAACACTTTATACAGAGTTCACTCACTCAGACTCTCAGCAGTGCCCTCTAACATAGCAGAACTCATACATATATTTAGACAATCCCTGTCAGACAGTTTCCATTACTTTACTAGCCGTTTTGTCGTAAAACTTGGGGGAGGGTTGAACACCTGACTGTGACAAATGTGGTACTAAAAATGTTGTGAAGCAACATTCAGAAGTGCTGGAAGAAGACTTTAAATATCTGTGGGAAACTGTCGGCTCTCTAAATGCTGTGCACAATAAGGGGCCCACTCTTAATTATGGGTCTGAATATCTCTGACATTGTGATGACTGATGTTGCGCTCTCTGATCATTCCTGTGTTTTCTTTGTTTCCTGTGTTTTCTTTGTCTTCAAAAAGAGGTAACCACAAAACAGTATTTATCTGAAAACACAAGGGAACTGTTTACTCAGAATTTCTTCCACACGTGTCCTCCGTGACATCTCAGTAAATGAGCTGGTAGATCATTTTAATTAGATGGCAACTAAGGTAAAAGGAAGTGACTGGCAAGAAAATACCTCCATGGAGAAAGGCCATGACGGTGAGAACAGAAAAAAGAGAGTGTCGAAAAAGCTGAACGCAGGTGGCGAAAAACTAATCTCCAGGTTCATTTTGAAATCTGTAAAGAGAGACATGACCTTCTCTGACATAAATTCCAGAAACAAAAACAGCACAGGTGCCTTGTTTGCTACCTTCGACAGACTAACAAACCCTCCGGCATTATCCATAAGGGCCGTACGTATACGTTTCTACATATTTGTATTTGCAGGTGTTGAAAATCAAGAATGGAGATTAGCAGAAGCAGGAACAACAGATACTTCAAAGTACAAAGTGTTCAATAACATACTTCTAGTTTAACCAGTTTTGACAAATGTTGAAGTATAGATATATATAGAGCACCGGGTAAGGTACCTGCACTGAAAAAACTGAAACGTTGACTTTAATCAAATGTATTACGTCAACAGATTTCACATAACTGTATTAGGTTAGTTGAAAGCAATAATATTACGTTTAAATCAAAACATATTTGCTTCATCTTAATATTATTGCTTTCAACTAACCTAATACAAATGTGTTGATATGATACATTTAATTAATTTTCAGTTTTTTTACCCGCAAAAGAGGTTTAGATAAATAGATAAAAAAACAAGCATTAATAGCTGGTTATCATAACGTCATTCAATTATTATTGTTTTTTACTAACAGAAACATGGTGCGAAATAGCCTACCTTATTTTTCCGTCACTAAGATGACCTGTCCTGTCTTTTCTAGTTACCAGAAGACTATTCAGAGAGGAGGTTTTACTAGCAATTTTGTATAAATTGTGATTAGGACTTTGCCAATAACTCTGTATTCTTCAGTAGATTTTGCAGTGGTCATTTTTCCCGAGCTCTATGTATATCTGTGATTTGAACCGTCCTTTCTTTTGTAGTTACCCAACATTGAAAGACTTGGCACAGAGGAGGCCAGATGTACCCATTTATGTTGGGGACACGTCGAGACCTGTCTTCTGGTTAGTAAAGTCTTTGAGCTCGCTTTAATTCCTTACATCTGTTGCTTAAAATAATACTTTTCTTTAAATGTGTTTTAATGCCCCTTTTGTTCCTTGATACAACAGGTATTTGGAGCAAAGCCAAGTCCCACTGACCAACATCAATGTTGTTCCTTTTGGAGTCTGGCAAAATGTAATGACAAATACTTTCATAAAATATGTGTGAAGATAGGCTGTTATAATGGAATAATAATGAATAGACTCCGCTAATTGTTCACTATACTGTCCCTTGGTCTGCTTCAGGTGAACGAACACCTAAGATTCATGATCCTGATGGACGGTGTGCACCCCGAACTTGACACCTGCCTCATTGTTGAATATAAAGGTGCATTTTTGTTTAATTTTAAATGTTATTACAAGAGATGCATGACTTCCATAAGATAACCCTTAAATGGTGTCTGTATCCACTATCCTGTGACATTTGACAGGCTGTGTCCATGTGTAAAGTGGGTGTTATACCAGTGTAAGAACTGTGTTACATGGGTGTAATATAGGTCTAATAACATTGTAATATGGGTGTAACAAGGGTATAATATGGGTGTAATAACAGTGTTATTACGGTGTCAAATGGGTGTAATATTGGTGTTACATGGGTGTAATATACTGTAGGTCTAATAACATTGTAATATGGGTGTAACATGGGTATAATATGGGTGTAATAACAGTGTTATTACGGTGTCAAATGGGTGTAATATTGGTGTTACATGGGTGTAATATAGGTCTAATAACAGTGTAATATGGGTGTAAAATGGGTGTAATAGAGTTGTAATAACAGTGTTATTACGGTGTCAAATGGGTGTAATATTGGTGTTACATGGGTGTAATATAGGTCTATTAACATTGTAACATGGGTAAAATAAGTTTGTAATATGGGTGTAATTTATAAAAAGCAATCAAATAATTGTCCATATTAATGACCATGTGTTTCTGTTTTAGGTCACATGATCCTGAACACTGTGGACTGCACCAGGCCAAATGGAGGCAAGTTACCCAACAATGTGGACTTAATGATGAGTGACTTTGCTGGAGGAGCATCTGGATTTCCCATGACCTTCTTTGGGGGGAAATACACAGGTGAGACTCATTACATGTTACACTATCATGCTCCGAATAAGTAGAGAAACATAATAAGGTAGATCTCCATCAAAGACACAAGACAGGGGATGCCCTGTTGTTAAAACCTAAAGCCCTGTAGGCTCTGTCTGTTTCTTTCTTTGTCTGTCTCCGTGCGATATTGTCAGGTTTGGGTAAAATAACACAGACAGGGGTTATCCAGGTTGTAACAATAAGCAAGCTTTATTCAAAAACTGAAAGTGCTAGTGAGTTATCCGACTAACCGAGTGAAACAAGGTCAAGGCACAAGGAACAAGAACAAACTCACGGCCAGGAACATGCAGATTACATTGAGGACGACCGGACGAGGAACACAAGTGAAAGCAAGACTAAATACACAGAAGGGTAATCACAAGACAAGACACAGCTGGAGAGGGGAGGTTAAACACAGGGGGGGGGGGGGGCAGCAGGTGAACACAATCACACAGGAGGGAAACTAAAGACAGGAAGGCAAACACAGGAAGTAGGACCAGACAAGACTCAAGGAGCAAAACATTTCAAAATAAAAAGGTGGAAAATGGCAACATAAATCCAAAACCATGACAGACATATGATATATGTATCCTGTCCTTGTCTTTCAACCACTTATCAACCACGGCCCAAACATTTCCTTTAGCAGAAACACGCTTCAGTTTCAAAAACGCTGCAAATTTAAAAACACAAATGTGGCAAAACACAAGAAACATCTTCACTAACTGGACAACACATGCGCAGCACCATTCAGAAAGCGCATGTGTTGTCAACTTGGTGGTTATGTTTTTTCATTTGCATGTGTTTTTGTGTGTTTATATTTGCATCGTATTTGAAGCTGCAGCGTAGTTTACAAGAAGGCAGGCAGCCTTAAATAAGTTGGGAACAGGGGTAAGAAAAATGTGTTCAAATCCTCCCCAAAATGAGTGCTGTTCACCCATGGCCACATTATGTTTAGTAAGCCCCTCAATGTAGAAAATAACCGTGATGCCCTCATGTTTGTCACCAGATTCCTGGAAGGAAACTTTTATCAAAAACGAAAGGGTGAAGCTGCTGAATTACAAATCTGCGCTGGTGAAGTCCCTGGAGCCGAAGATCTACTGCCCGTTCGCTGGCTATTTCGTGGAAGCTCATCCATCAGACAGGTAGAACTTGCTCAGATTTCGTAGAGGAATACTAGTGGATGATAAATAAGACATGGGTTTAAAAGCTCATTATTTTTCCCCGGTTGAAAAATGAAGATGATATGTTTAGCTCTAAATCAGACTTAGTTCATGTGTAGTTTAGCTTGGAGAGATCTATGTGAATAAAAAGTAGGAGAGACGATGATAAGTTGACCCAGACCCTGTTTCCAGAAAACGTTCTATCTAATGTCATGTGACTACAAATTCAGGAAGTTAATCATTTATATCTGGCTAAGATGGAAAGAAGCAAATGAAATAAACGTGAATGATAATTTTCTCTCCAAGTAACAGCCCACACTTTGGTCTGTCCGGAGAATTAAACCGGCGACCCTTTGGTTCCCAAGCCAAGTCCCAATAAGAATGATTTGCGTCCATATAGTATATCATATGTAGTATACCAATAATATCTGTGAATCATTGACCTAAAGAAGAGCGGTCCTTTTGACATTGCACCACAGTAAAAGGATGTCTGAAGTGGCCTATTTCAGAATAATATATATTTTAAAGGTCCCATGTCATGCTTTACCGGTTATTACCCGTCCCCTTGTGTGTTATGAAGGTTTTTCTGCATGTAAACGGTCTGCAGAGTCACAAACCCTCAAAGTACAACCTGTAGCGAGTAAAACTCTAACACAGAAAAGACCTGTCTGTGCTGCCCCAGAACGCCTCGTTGGAGATTTCTCATTTTCCATTGTTTACTTCCTGGGTTCTGTGACGTGTGAACACCCAAATCAACAACAAATGACCGGATTGGCCCAAATGGACCAATCCGCGGAGCACCTCACACACCAGGATCCCTTGGCTAACTAACAGGGAGTCCCATTGACTTGCATAGAGCTCCCTGAACGCTGGTAATAGACGAGTTGGGATGGCGGAGAAATGCTCTCCGCAGACCCATTCTCACAGCGTTATAAACCTTTTTCTTGCTCAATATCAAGCCACACTTATTGTTTTTACTTCGGCTGTGAGTGTTTGTGTGTGCTCAGGATGAGCTTTGCTTGTTCTCGCTGTATCGCCGACCCGGAAACCTGTCCGCTCCTCGCAGCAGCGGCGAGCAGCAACGAGCCTCGCAACATCCCAACCAATCAGAGCACACTGGGCTCACAGGGAGGGGCGGCAGGAGCTCCAACAAGCCGTGTAGGACAGAGAGAGAATACACATACTATACAGAGATGCTGTATGAGAAACCAATGTGATTTTGGAAAATTGCACAATTTAAATCTATTCTAGTAGACCTCAACAATGGAAATATGATCAGTAGAAATGGCCATGACATGGGACCTTTAAAGAACATTTATTGTAATTGCATCTGTTTGCAGTTGTAAACGCTCATTTTTTATTATTTAGAAAGGCCTTCTTTCACAACAACAGGAAAGAGAATGGATTAGCTGGTAGGGTGTGCAGGAAATGACATAATCCAGTAGAACGTCAAAGGAAAGTGTGTATTATTAAATATGAGTTTTTATTTGTTTTATGTGATTTAATCCTAAAATGTCAGACGATCAATTTATCCGATAATGATTTAATTTAAGTTGAGTCACAGTCATATTTTAAGGGCGTTTTGCCACAGGTGCGTTCTTAAATTCAAATGACAGGAGACACTGAGAAATACTTATTATCTTCATTGTTCATCCGTCTTCATAAGTCTCTACTGTGTTCTGTGCATACAGATCCATTAGGGAAACAAACATCAAGAACAGTGCAGAGAACCTCAACGCGCTGATCAATAAAGTTGCACCAGACATCAAAACATGGACGCCCAAACCAGGCAGTGTGCTGGACCTCGGCCTCGCTCTGAGAGACCCCACTAACAGGTTGACAATGCTTTCCTGTGCGTGTGTGTGTGTGTGTGTGTGTGTGTGTGTGTGTGTGTGTGTGTGTGTGTGTGTGTGTGTGTGTGTGTGTGTGTGTGTGTGTGTGTGTGTGTGTGTGTGTGTGTGTGTGTGTGTGTGTGTGTGTGTGTGTGTGTATATAACAACACATTATTCTACAAGCAAAACCCATTACCATGATTCTTGTTTTGAAATGAAAGTCTGACGGCACTTTCAAACAATCTGACAGCGTTAGCATTAATAAGATAGCTAACTATGGCTGTCCTTTTCGGACATTTAGACTTAGCATTAGCAGTTAGCATTAATAAGCTATCTATCTACGGCTGTCCTTTTTTTTTAGGCATTTAGGCTTTGTCTTTGAGCATAACATTATGGATGTTGTCATTAATTCCACTAGCAAAACCTATATACATGGTTCTTGATTTTAAATGATTCTCTGACAGCACTTTCAAACAATCTTACAGAGTTAGCATTAATAAGCTAGCTAGCTACGGCTGCCCTTTTCTTGGTAAATATTTAAGACTTAGCATTAGCAGTTGTTAGCATTAAAAGCTAGCTAACTATGGCTTAGAAAATGTGCCAGTCACAGTTGTTTCTTCTAACTCACAAAAACGTACATTTGCCAGTCACTGTTAAAAAGGCTTTTGTCTACCCCTGTCTGAACTCAAAGCATTTTTGAGAACAGAGAACAGGAATCGTGCCCAGATTACAAAATAGGCTATATAAAGATTGTGCTGATTAATATGATAATTTAAACTACACACATGGAGACCCATCATAAGTTCACCTTCTTTGTATGTGTTTATTTCTTTTATTACACAACCAAACACAGAGCGGCCATCACTGATCCCCCGGCTAATGCACAAATCTACAAGGACAGATGGGATTTCAACTTGTATTTGAATGAACTAAACGGCGCCATCGGCTCTGAGATATTCAAACATAAAAGCTGGATCAAATTCTATTACTCCTGGGCAGGCTTTCAAAACTACAACCTTGTCATGCGGGTAAATATAAACTTGACATAGAAGACTCTCTTTCTGTTATTTTGTAGAATCGCAGATACTTTTGCAAAACCTTCCTGAGCGTTGTAAAGTAATCATGTTCACCATCTTAGCTTAGCATTTGAGCATGCTAACATTTGCTTATTACCAATAAACAAAATTACATTGAAATGTGCAGCATATTTGGAAACACGTGTTGAAATGTGGGTTAATGATTTGCTGGCAATCTTAAATATAATGCCTGAGATCATTTATTATATTATATTTTATCGAGATGCAGCTAGCATGGCTAATAACTAGCTCAACAGAAACTAGCTAGCCCTCTTGTCCTTTCTTGCTGTTGCTTGTTGATGTGTTTTTGATCCAGAGCAAATATTTTCACACAAATATATAAGGTGATCGAGACAAAGGACAACTTTGAACCCCATGCTGGTGGCTACGACTACTTGGTGGACTTTTTGGATCTGTCCTTTCCCACCGCCAGGCCTGGCAGAGAGCACTTCTACATTGAGGTGAGACATAGGAAATATTTAAACTCTAATACACAAAAAATCAAGTCATTTACAAAGAAATCCAGCTCAATGCTCATCAGGTGGAAGAAGCACTTAGATCCTTTACTTAAGTAAAAGTATAAATACTTTGGTCTGAAAATACTTCATGACAACTGAAAGTCCGATATTCAAAATGCTACTTAAGTAGAAATATAGCCAGCTAAATGTACTTAAAGTATCCAAAGTACACATGCACCATGGCCGTTTTGTAAGTATTATATTTTTATGGAATATTAAAGGTAGGGAAGGTAAGAATGGAGAAACCAGCTCGAGTGCGCTAGAATTTGAAACTACGCAGCCGAAAAAAATCTGCCCCTTCCTTCAGACTTCCTTACAGAGCCCCTCCTCCAACACACACGAACGCGCACATGACCAATGAGGGCACGAGATAAGTTTGTGCACAGATGGAAGGCTGACAGGCAGGTAGGCCATCCAGATATTTTAGCCGGGCCGGCTCAGATGATTGGTCGTGCTTTTTACAGCGCCACGGCTTCCACAGATGAAATGTTTTTATGTATTTATTGTCAAAGCATTTAATTTATTCATTGCTATCGGGATGTTAAGAGCATTCCATGGAATATAACAACAAGTGTTTCTGAAGTGAATTACCTACCCCACCTTTAAGTGATTCGTTCTTTTTATTGCTTACAAATACATGTAGGACATTATTAAGACAATTTAAGTTTGTTTTGTAATAAATCTGTAGTAACGTACTGCAGGATATCATATAAAAACGTCATATGTTTTATATGTAAACAATAGCTGGGAACTATTATTGTTAGTAAATGTAGTGGAGTAAAAAGGACACTTAATGTTCCAAAATGTAAGGGGAGTAAAAGTATAATCAAATCAAATCAAGTTTTATTTATATAGCACATTTAAAAGCGATTTTTGGTCGAGCCAAAGTGCTGTACATGTAATAAAAACACATTACTACAATCACAATAAAAGACAATAATTTACAACAGAAATATAAAAAACAAAAACACAGGGAATATTCAGGTGTCATGCTCCGCTCTGACTAGAAGGCCATGCTATAAAGTAGCATTAAGTGGAAATACTCAAGTAAAGTACGACAAAATAGTACTTGAGTGAATGTACTTCGTTAAGTCCCACCTCTGTAACCCATGAACGGTCTGTCGTAGACTCTTGTGCGGCGCATTATTTTACTCATCAGAGTTCCTGTTTCGTTCATGCAGCTTCAATGTTTTCTTGGTTTCATCCCTGAAGATCAAAAACCGGATCAGCGTGATGAGATCTGCGGTGCTGCACGGCCGTCTCTGGGATGATCTGTACATCGGCTTCCAGAACCACATAAGCCGAGACCCGGATATCTACCATCACAAGTAAACACACTTTGTCTCATTTGAAATGTATTTCAGTAGTAAACAGAAAACACCAGAAAAATCCCAGCAGTCTTTCGATTACTTCAGCACTTCTGAGCACTTCTGTTCTACTTATGACGCAGGTTTTCATAGCAAGACACAGGTCTGAGATAATAAGTTACACATGCCAACTTATAGAGTGGTGCAGGAACGAGTCCTGAAACCCGGAAGTGAGTCAGCATTGTACCACTTCCTGTTCCCTCGTCTCAGAGTCAATGGGTTTTTTGAACTAGTTTCTGGAAAATATCTGGAAATAAGGTCTGTGGTTGACACAAATGTAAGAGACGGATCATGTTCTGTTCTACGACATTAAATACATCAGCAGTGACCCCACTGGTGATTCTTGAAGAGTTGACGTGTCGGAAAAACGATGGTTGTTAACAAGTGGCTGAATAGGACTACAGAAGTTGTCGAGGACGTTGTACGTCATTACGCCGAACACGTAAACACACCCGCTAAGTTTGTTTGCCCCTGTTCTGCTTGAAAGCAAGTACCTGCCTCCTGCAAACTGTTCAAACAACACTTCAACTTGTACAATTTTGAATCTGTATTTTTGAATATGGATCTTAAGTTGGCGTGACGTTGAAGTCGTGCGACCCTACTTTATAGCATGACGTTAGCATTTTGCTTCTGGCGATTAGATCTATGATTAGAAAATGATAAAAGTAGGGTAAACATGTGGAGATTATCCAGCTGAACAAAACGTGCATTTATCAAACAGGTTCGTTTTCCACAGATCTTATTTTTTACAATATTCCAAAATCCTATGGAGAAATCCCGTTGTTTTTTTGTCGAGGGAACCCATGCGCAGCTTACTTCCGGGTCGGCCTCCAAATATACGTCATCACTGCAGCACTCTATTGTAAATGTTTTTAACGTTAATGTGTCTTGTCGGTCTCTAGGTTCTGGAACCACTTCCAGACAGAGCTACCAGTTTCCGCGCCAGACTGGGACGAGTTCCTGCAGCAGGCAGAGATGGGTTCGTCCTGTGAATTGATGTGAATATGACTTATTGTTGGGGTCTGGTATGACCAGTTGCTTATGGTAACTAATGATCGAAAGCTTTAGCAGGGCTTGTATCCGAGATAGTCAATTTGCCTTACTGAACGACATTTCTTTCGTTCAGTAAGGCAAATTGAACGAAATTGGCGTTTTTGCATACTTAATTTTAGCAGGTGATAGGTAAACATTTAGCTTAAATAAAAGTTGATAAGTGACGTAAACTTAGTGTACTTCGTCTGGAGACACTTTGACTTCTCCTCAAAATGATTTTTCTCTCACTGTAGTTTCAAAGCATGAAGAGAATACTGGGAAATGGAGTACATTCAATATGTGGTGACACTGGAACCTCTAGAAGGTCTGGAATACAATAATGCAATAATAATTCATAAAAATAATTATTATTAGTTTACAGCCTGTTCCTCTTGTGTGTGTTTCCGTTTCTACTGCGTTTCAAATGCAACAGACTCTTTTCCAGGAGAGTTTTATTAATTTAATCATAGGGAGTGTTGCTCACTTACACAAACACTACAAAGAGGTCAATTAACAAATGTGTGAAGGAACCACCTGCAAGTGACATGCTGACAAAGGGTAGACAATTAAGCTCCAAAGTAACATACATGTAATACCTTAAAGGTCACCTATTATGCAAAATCCACTTCTTCATGTCTCTTCTACATCAACATGTGTCCCCTCTTCTTCATGTCTCTTCTACATCAACATGTGTCCCCTCTTCTTCATGTCTCTTCTACATCAACATGTGTCCCCTCTTCTTCATGTCTCTTCTACATCAACATGTGTCCCCTCTTCTTCATGTCTCTTCTACATCAACATGTGTCCCCTCTGTGGAAAGAGATTCTGAAAGTTTCAGGAAAAAAGATTCTCTCTCTTTTTGTCCTGATCCATTTATATAAAAACCTGTCTGAAAATGAGCTGATGTCATAATGATGTTTTGGCTTGTGTAACCATTAGCCAATCACCAACCAAGATAACCCCCCCCCCCCCCCCCCTCACACCTTATCACCTGAGTAACAGACAGAGAATCAGCACTTTTGAAACAGGGCTGAAACAGAGGGGATTATGGGATGCTGCAATGATCTGTTTGGTGTTTCGAGCCAAACACTTCAGAGACATGTTTTGTTTTGTTTTGTTTTGTCTGAGACCTATAATATATTGATTAAAAACAGTATAATAGGGGACCTTTAAGTTTAATTGAAACACTATGTGAAACACGTCACAAGTTAAAGTTGAAGAGCAAACATGGAAAAAGGTTGGGTAAAAAGTAGAGACCAAATGTCACTGTGTGTGTGCTGTGTTCATGTATGTGTGATACATATTCTATCTATCTATCTAAAACCCCAAAACGGTTACATGTGCAATCATCCCTAATTAGTCCAATGTTGTCTTTATATAATTACATATATACAATCAGGGGCATTCAACAAGCTTTTGATTGGTTATCAGGGTAGTGTGTTGGTATAAATGAAGTATAAGGTTTGATAATGTTATTGGTCCATATTTAATTAGCACTGTATGTGGAGACATGGAGTGTTTTTCTGAAAATATCCTGACTCTGGTGAAGCATAGAAATCATACCTGAAAATGAAAAAGTATCAATGTATTTATGTGAGTGTAAGAGTGAGGGTGAAGGATCACACTAAGGGTTTCTTTGTTAAGTATTAATCATGTCAATAATAATAATCAATTGATGCACTTTCAATTAAAATTAAAAACATACTTGATAAAAACTGTTTCTGGAGTTCCTTGTTGAGCATGTGTAGATTTTAGCCTTTGCAGAAACTAAGTCTTTGCAAACTGATATTCAACTAGACACAAAGGAAGGACTAAGATCTGACATACAGGTTTTTCTTACTGCAGCTTTAAAGAGGCCTTATTGAGCTTTTTGGGCTGTAGTCCCAGTAGAGACTATAAATACTGATATACACCTGAACATCAGGAGGAGAGGACTCTTTAAAGGAGAGACACTACATACTGATATACACCTGAACATCAGCAGGAGAGGACTCTTTAAAGTAGAGACACTACATACTGATATACACCTGAACATCAGCAGGAGAGGACTCTTTAAAGTAGAGACACTACATACTGATATACACCTGAACATCAGCAGGAGAGGACTCTTTAAAGGAGAGACACTACATACTGATATACACCTGCACATCAGCAGGAGAGGACTCTTTAAAGTAGAGACACTACATACTGATATACACCTGAACATCAGCAGGAGAGGACTCTTTAAAGTAGAGACACTACATACTGATATACACCTGAACATCAGCAGGAGAGGACTCTTTAAAGTAGAGACACTAAATACTGATATTATATACACCTGAAAAGGAGCAGGAGAGGACTCTTTAAGTAAAAAGGGAGACTGAGCTTGAGATAGTGATGGAGTCATGAGAGAAGGTTGGGATGGTCGTTACTTTCAAAATGCACTTGTGGTCAGAAAGAGAGTCATGTGATACGTTTCTCATTATTGAACAATAACCCAGTAAATCCACAACATACATTATGATCATTTCACGCTCAATGGTTGCCCCTTTTTTTCTTTTGATGTTGTTGTTTTCCCAGTAGACTTGTGTAGTAAGTATAGATGTTATAGTGGTTGGATGGGGGAAGTGTGTACAGAAGCAACATGGGAAAGTGGCAATGTTAAGCATATTAAAAACAGACAGACGAGTGTGTGGTTTTGCACTAATGTCCCAATGAATCACGGACATTAAAAAACAAAAATGTAATACATTTCAAATAGAGGTAAGGCCACTACCCACAGAACGAGCAGTTTGACAACCCCAGCAACATTACCATATCTAAAACGGGAGAATAAAATGATGGCAAAGTGAAAAACAAAAAGCAGATTTTCTTGTCGGCCTGGATTATTAAACACTCAGGTGTGTTCGGACTCACTTCCAGAAAACCCTTCAAAGAGGTTTGTTATTGAATGTTTGGAGGAACACAACAGGGCGCGGTCATCCGTCAATCCACCTGCACGTGACATGCTGTTCATGGTAGGCATCATTGGTATTTAATCATCATCTCTCTCACACGGATGACTAACTGACAGACGTGCAGTGATTAAATGAATTCATCGACACCTGTTATGACCTGGCTCAAAAGGCCACAACAAAGAGGAGACACACCATATCAATGGTTTAACAAAATATGTTCATTTCAGCTACTTTTACTCAAGTACAAGATCTGAGTACTTCTACTTTTACTCAAGTACAATATCTGAGTACTTCTCCCACCTCTACTGGCTGCTATCTCTTATTTAGACTATTCAAATACTGTAACACAATCTTTAAAAACTGTGCAATATATACTTTTATTTTCACTGTCCGGCTGCTATCACACTATTTCTACATGCTACACTTATTTTAATAATATTGCTACTTCACCTTCTCCCATATTTTATGCATGCCTCTCTAACAAATACATGTCCCCTCTTTAGGACTAAGGAAGTATTCTGATGTGCACACTTCTGTAGAAACAAAGATCGTTCCTTTTGGGGAAATGTTTTTCAAGAGATCGCATGAGGCAACAAGCAAAGAGGAACTGGTTGTGATGTTTTTATATTTAGTCACACATTTTAACCCTTTGCTCGGAAGTCCTTCAGGTTGTGTGGGCGAGCAGCTACAAGGTTGGCTGTGCCGTGCAGCTGTGCCCGAACGGAGTCGAAGCTCAAGCTTTGCTTCTAGAGAGGGGGCTATCTTTGTGTGCAACTATGCTACTAGGTAAGTACAACAGAAAAACAGTTGAAGTCACTCCAACAGTGATATTTATAAAGAAAACATATTTAAAAAGGCCCTTTCCTGTAGTGTGTTCTATAGGTTTGTGCGCATGTAGATGGTCTGCTAAGGCTAAAATCCCACATTTCTGGAACATAGCAACATCACTATGTAACACTCGTGCTTCAACACATTGTGCGTGATAGGCTAAGGGGCGGGACTTCTCTAAGAGGTTGACCAATCACAACAGAGCCGACCCAGCTAACCAATCAGAGCAGACGGGGCTCTGGTTTCAGACAGAGGGTGAAAAGAGGTGCTGCAGCACAGGCAGTATGAGAAAAATAAAGAGCTTTTTGAACATTAAAGCATGGAGACCTGTCCCAGTAGAGACACTACATACTGATATACACCTGAACATCAGCAGGAGAGGACTCTTTAAAGTAGAGACACTACATACTGATATACACCTGAACATCAGCAGGAGAGGACTCTTTAAAGTAGAGACACTACATACTGATATACACCTGAACATCAGCAGGAGAGGACTCTTTAAAGTAGAGACACTACATACTGATATACACCTGAACATCAGCAGGATACGTCCTCTTGTTAATCATAGTCTACAAAGTGTCTTTTCAACTTGGGTATTTTCCTTCACACCTCTCAACATTGCTCTCAGGGTGTTTGAGGATGTGGTTAAGCATCCACTCTGGTGCAAAGGAAGGTGTCAACCACTTGCTGAAGCAGTGACTTGTTTTTTTTAGAAAATCAGCTTTAAAAGTGTCTATTTGTCGATCTTTTGTAAAGTTTTAAGGATGAACCAATGGGCTCGAGACTGAGAGCTCATTACAGAAATCAGAAAGTATTGAGAGATGGTCTAAATTATTTTGGTCTTTTCATGGGAACATTGTACATTTCTGGACGTATTATTAATATATATTGTAATTAGTTTATGTTAAGTGCAGTGGCGGCCGGCCCATAGGGGCGCTAGGGGCGCCGCCCCCCTCTTCCCACATGTTTGATTGTCATTAAAAATTAAAAATAAATAAAAAAATATATTTAAAAAAAAATATTTTTTTTATTTTTTATTTTTAATGAACAAGGTAAATATTATATAGTTGGTATCAATAACATGTATAATCTACAATAAAATCTCGTTTAAAATTGTTTTACAATGTCTAAAGTTACTGATAAGTCACATGTTTCCTGCCTGTCCGCAGCGTGTATCATTACCCTCTCTCGTCCGGGCGGTAAGAAAGGAGCCCTCAGCCAGAGCAGCAGCAGCCAACAAGCTGACTGTTGCTATCTGTAAACTATGCCGCCGAAACATAATTTCATCCAATCAGCGTCGTCAGATCTGATGCTCAAAGGGCGCCCTGTCAGCGCCCTGGCCTGTGTGTCTGTGAGTTGTTTGAACTCGTATCCAAGGTGACGCTACAGTAGTTGTCGAGGATGGCTGCGTCTGCAGGTGGAGACTAGTGGATCGCCGGAGCTGTAGATTAACATGTACATGCTTATTGTAGTTGTAAGGGCAATGCCTGTAGCACCATGGAGCATATGTGTGGGCTGGACCTGTATTTTACAGGAAAGGAGTGAGCAGAGGGTCGAGTTGTCGATTCTTGTTCAGTTTTCATCTTCCTCACCCTCTCAGACTTTGAGTTGCGCGCGCTGCTAAAGAGACGTGCTACCATGGAAACCAAACAATGGTGTAGCTGTATTAAAGTCCGAGTGGAAACAGTCGTGAGTAAATCAGATTTTGTCAGAAATCGGAAGAAATGCGGGAGAAATATGACCCCGGGAGGAAACCGGGAGAGGGCAATGGAGGCCCAAACCCAAACCACTCCCTCGACCCTACCCCTCCGTGACGGAGTGAACTCCGTCTGTAGCCACACTCGCAGCTCAACGGGCTCCCTCCTGTCAGATGGAGGGAGTAAATACAGCTGCAAGCTTTGGGACGGCCTCCCCTCTCTCCGGCAGAAACAGGAAATGCCGTAACTGTATGTAACAACGGTTTCAAATCAGCATCTCTTAGACAAAAAATGTAAATCAATAACTCAAATAAAACTCCAAACATCTTTAATTGTGTTACTTTTTTGTAAAGCTCTTTTAGTTTTAAACCTGATGTTTATAAGCTTCTTAGTTTTTGCAACAGTCTGTAAATATACACAATTTTATAATAAAATGCACACATTTACCTTTTTCTAGACTAACCACAGGTACGATCCTAAGTTAAAAAAATATGAGGTTATCATGAGGTTGTTAACATCGCAATTTATCAGTGGATGTTTGCTGGAACTGTTTGTAAACAGCGTGTTTCCTGACGGACACACACAGCGTGACTCCGGTCAGGTAGAGACCAGTCTCAAGTCAGCACCGATGCAGACTCGCTGTTTCAATATGGTCTAGCTGCGGCCGCGGCAAGTACACGACACCATAGGTATATATAAACACTAGATGACTCACCCGCGCTGCTGGCCAATGGAGACCGACGTTGCCACATGGCCGCCATCTTGCTACAGGCAGTGCTCTCATTCATAACATTATGGTTTACTATTTAAATAACCATAGCTTGCTCAATTTTCAACCAATTTTCAAACGGTTTGGTTTTTTATAAACATCAAAGATGTAGTTATGATACTGCATACTTATAATCATGGACTTTCATATGAAAATAACATTAAGCAGATAAAGCAATAGCTATACACACACACAAGGTATTTATATTAAATATTTGCCGGTGTATATATTTCCATTTATTTTATTATATTGTTAATATTTAAAATAAATTATAAAATTAAAATATATTTATATTTTATATATAAAAATCGGTCTCATGTTACCACTCTGTAAGCCAAGAGTTGTTAATTTAGCAATGCCTTAGCTTGAAGAACAGGGACACAACTAATGACAATAGCATATGGTGGTATATTATTTAGATATTCACACCTTTATCAGAAGAACCAAACCAACATAAAATGAGCCCACAGACAGGCCAGTTCTGTCTCATTTATCACAATTATTTTTGACATGAGATCTTCATATCGTCCTAGTTTTGTATTTAGTTTCTAGATTTGTAAACAAATCCAGAACCTTTGAAATACGTTACCACTTCACAGCACGGTGCGCTGAGTTCTTGTAGTCCTTTTGTGTCCTTCTGTAGTCCATTTACTGTTGTTTGTCTTGTCTTACCCCGGCTGATATCTCACTAAATCCAGTTTTAATTGTTCCCTATATTGCCCCACTGCCCTGTAAGGTGTCCTTGGGTGTTATGAAAGGCGGCCCCCCAAAATAAATGTATTATTATTAAGAAGAACAACTTGGTGTGGTTTCTATTCTCCTAAAAAATGTTTACGTTCTCCAACAGAAAACACAACTCAGCGTACTTTTAAGAAATTGATCTTAATAGGCTTGTCCCCTTATAAGGCAGAAATATGTTTTGAGGCTCTGGACACAAATGGCTATTTTGATTGTAAAGGTTGCCAACCCCTGGGTGTAGTTTCAATGTTTGCACATGTTTATTCAAGTGTATGAGTGACATAGAGCAAGTGAGATGGCCAGTGGTTCTCAAACTTTTTACACAGAGTACCACCTCAAATGATATTGGGCTCTCCTAGTAACACCATCATAGACCTTCCTGGGTACCACCGAGATAAAGGATTTAATATGACAAGCCATATGATGCTCTCATTTGTTAGTGACATTCCACATGCAAATAAGATAAGATAAGATAAGATGGTACTTTATTGATCCCAATTTGGGAAAACATTTTTAGTTACAGCAGCATAAGGGACAAGGCATTTTACAATAAATTAGAAAAATAAAGAAAATAAAGAAAGAGGAAAATAATATACATGTTGAGTTTGGCAGGATATTATATATATCTAATAGACATATACATAAATATAAGACATATGGAATATTAATGTTAAAGGTGGGGTAGGTAGTTTTGGAGAAACCAGCTTGAGTGCGCTAGAATTTGAAAATACACAGCCGGAAAAAATCTGCCACTTCCTTACAGAGCCCCTCCTCCAACACACACGAACGCGCACATGACCAATGAGGGCACGAGATAAGTTTGTGCGCAGATGGAAGGCTGACAGGCAGGTAGGCCATCCAGTTATTTTAGCCGGGCCGGCTCAGATGATTGGTCGTGCTTTTTACAGTACTACGGCTTCCACAGATGATATTTTTTTATGGATTTTTTGTCAAAGCACTTAAGATATTCATTGCTATCGGGATGTTAAGAGCATTCCATGGAATATAACAAAAAGTGTATCTCA